ACACCAGAAGATTCAAAACTCATCGAAGCATCGTTTTTGAATGTGCACGTACAACCGTCTGGATCCGTTTCATTTGTTGGAAGTGAGCGAGTGGAACACGATAACAATATTTCAGTCGTAGATGAAGATTTGGTGTTGAGTTTAACGTCAAGCCAGAGAGGAATAAATCATGATTCTGTTTTATGTAAGTAAAGATTATCTACTAGGGCAAGGAATTTAATTCTTACTCAGAAGCTGATATCTGCCCATTGTACATTTATCATCAGAGTAACACCACAGGTTACTTCACTGAAAAATTGACTGTGTAGCTGGGTGGAAACTTGGGTGAAAAGAAAAGTGCTTTTTCTTCATTACATTTAGTTCGGAAATATTTATTTGATCGTGAAGAGAGAACCATTTATATCAACAGTACACACAGAATTTGGTTTGTGAATCTGTGCTTTTAGTATTACATTTGCAATGTATTCCCCAACCAGTATCTGTTTTTCTATACAGTTGATTCCCAAGATGCGGAACTTGCTATGATCCTTCAAAACCTAGAGAGCGGGGCAAATGTTGATGAAGATAGTATCTTGGGATCTCAGGCATTTCAGGAATTAGAAACTGAGACAGTAGATGGCAGTGAAGACGAGGACATGCAAGATCTAAGGCAGCCGTTAGATGCCGCAGTGGATTCAAGCCCAAATGGTGGCTTTGAGAAAGAAGGCTCGAGCAGGTACCTGTTGAATGTGTTATAACTGGGATTACGTGAAGTTAAAAGCCATATTATGTTTCGATGTATGTGTTGTGTTCAAAAATTAAAGTTCTGAAGGACCACTTTTGGCTCTTACATATTTGTTTCGTGAAGTATCAGGCCTTTTAGGTTTTGAAGTTGTTACTCGGTGTAATTTTCTGGATAATTATTTTTTTTACTTCTTTTATATAATTTTAGGAGAAGAGAATATGATGTACGTGAACTTGACCCTTTTCCATGATTTTGCGAGCACATACCACAGTATATCAAATTAGAGCTAATATTTTATATGTGAGGTTAAAATGTGTCACCATACTAATATTTCATGTCAGGTTACAATGATTGATCAGTTATGTGGATGCTGTGTTGTTCAGAATTTCCTCAAAAGCTATATACGGATGCATTCATTTCAAGCATTGCCGCACAATTTTGAGTTCTTATGGCAATAAAAATATTATATTCTTCTGGGCTGTGATGCCATATAGTCTTGTAGGTGGTACCAACATTTTGGAGAAATATTACCACTGTTTTGAAGGTGGATTTACTTTTACCCTGAAGGTATAGGCAATACATTAAAAATGGTTATGTTATCTATATCGGTTCGCTTGCTAATGTGTTGTCCATGCTTTTGTGTTGGTTTATTATGACTTGATTTGTCCAGTGGGAAGGCAGAGCAGGTACTTGCCTGTCAAGTAACATTCAGCATGGTGGTGTTGACTCCACTGTTGCACATACATGTCAGTATAGATACAGTGAGGTTAAGTTTTCGCATTGTGCCTTTTTTTTTATGTTTACACAGATTTACAGATCACCAGGATGATTCATTGTGGGAGAATACATTTTGGGAGGATGTGAACAAAATTCCGCAGTTGGATGGAGCCGACGATGTCCCCGATAAATCACGACGCAGGAGATTTGGGATGAGGGGAAGATCATTTCCACGGCGATCGGTGCATAAACGTTTGGTTAAGAGTTCCATCAGTGAAGTTGGTAGAAATGGTTCATCTGTGTGGACTGCAGACAGTGAGAATAAGCTCTGTAATGGTGCGTCAGAGTTGGGAACCAACGAATTATGTCTCTCAGCTGCTCCAGAGAAAGCTAGCACATGCTTTCATGTTAATCCTGCAGATGACTTTACAGAAGTTGCTGATGATAACAGAAATCCTATGATGGCTGGAGGTGTGGGGAGAGAACATGAAAATGATGTGAGAAACTGTTTCTTGGACATTTCCAACGATACTGACGGTTCTGCAACTGTGGAAAAAACAGTAACATTGGAGACTGTTCCAGTTACAACAGATGATTCAGTGACGGACACCAAAAGTAGCCATATTCCAAGATGTACCAGAGACATGCAAACCGATGTAGTGGTTGGTTCATTTGAATTGGATAGTTTGTTGGTATGTGCTAAAAATGATAATGGTCCTGTAGGAGTTGGAAACTTGAAAAGTGTGTCTGACGACTGCCCGTCTCCAACAAATGGTTTAATAAAACATTCCAGTGAGAAGAGTGTCGTAGAAACAGAATACAAAATTTCTCTTAATGGCTTTGCAGAAGTCAGTGGAGACAGTGTGGATCCTGTAATTTCAGAAGTAACAGGATCAGAATCATTAATAATCCTGTCAGAAGATACAGTGGAAATTTCTGACATTATCACTAATCCCAGTACTGTTGAAAGTGTGTTAGTAGGTGGTGAAACTAATCTATCAACACTCAATTCTTTGTCACAAGTTTCAGGAGATGATGATATTCGAGGTATGAGGAATGTAGGTTCAGAATCTGCTAAACTTCCAGCCAAGCAAGTTTGCAATGAGTCATCTAATTCAGAAGTAAACTTCCAGCCAGTTTCTGTTGTGTGTTGCAACATGCACGCATGCTCATGCATGTCAGATGGCTCTGTGCTTGCTCTGCAGTTGAACGATCCCGGAAGTACTTTTGAAGTAGATGGTCAGGAATGTGATCGGTTTAGGCAGGGTGTTTTGATTGGAGATCCCTCATTTACAGCACAGCTAAGTTTTTCAGAAGGAGATAATGACCTGCAAATGAATGGGCTTTTCTCTGGTACTAGCATACCCAACTTGTTATCTTCAGAACAGTGTTCAGAAACTTCCAAATCATCATATATCACTGATATCGATACAGATTTGTTGGCTCCATATGACACGCAAACAGTTCGTGAGATATCGCCAGAAAAGAGCACAGTTTCATGCAGAACTTTACGTCACCGCAACAATTTAGGTCGAAAACAAATTTCAGGAAATTGTAGTAAATTATTTCGATCAAGGAGGATGATGGCACAGAATTCAGAGCTACATAACATGTCTGACATTAATGTAAAAAGAACGTGCATGCAACGCAGTAGAGGGACTGGTCCTTCAGTTGAAACGGCTGGCACTAAACAGATGTCGAGCTGTCACGTTCTCCCCAAAGTAAGGTTGAACTTGGATATTGAAAGAAAAGATACTTTGTGCTCTGCTGTCAGTGCACTATCTTCTTGCACATTTAAGAGTCCTATGGAAGTTTCTCCAGTCGAAGTGAAACGGATTGAAACGATGCTTTGGAAAGGAAGCATAGATGAGATAATACAGCTGAAAGATTGTTCAATAAATGCAGGTGTCATGTCTCAAAACGAAGTAGAAAATGCCAAAGAGAAACTGGACAGCTGTGTTCAGAAGATGTGGAGTAAAACCACGAATGGTCAAAAAGCAGATGTTAGTAATGGTATTATTGGCAAGAACAGTAAAGAAGGGATAGAATTTCATGTAGGAGACAGATGGAACAGATCTCGTGTATGTACCCGGGCTGGAAATACACTGCGTAAGTGCCTTTGTGAGAATGATGACGCATTGACCAGCAGGAGTATGCAGTCTGCATCACGGTCATGTATGGTGACGACAGCTGGTGAAAAACAGTCAAGAAGACTGCAAAGAGAGAAATGGAAAAGGTTGTCTCTATCATATAGAATGAATGCCACATCAAATAGTAGAAAGAAACTTGAAACAAATGGTCTAATACAAGTAAATAATATTTGTATTAGACCGTGCTATGTGAAGCTTGTGAAACTGCAAGACATTTCTGAGCAAACAAGGATCAATTCTTGCAAAAGTAATTCACAGTTCATAAATCATAAAGCTTCAGCTACTCATTCGTTTGGTTTGAGCAGCTTATCTCACACAGTTGATACCAAAGGATGGGAAGTGAGAAATAAATTAAAGCCATGTAGAAGTGTAGCTCAACAGATGAAAATACGTTATTCCAGTTCAAGAGGTGGAGCAAAGGCTAATGGGAATGTGAATTGCAACAGTATTGAAAGTTTTGTAGATCACAGAAAAACTGACGTGTGTCCAGTTTCTTTTCGTGTTCCTACAAAAGCTAAAAATGAAAACCAGTGTAACAAGGTTGCAGTTCACGGTAGAAGTATTGCAGTTTCGAAGACAAGAAATAAAAATGATGCTAAGGTTGCTAAAACTGCTGTACTTCACATCCAAGAACCCTGTGATTTTAATTCTGTGCAGATTGAACCGAGGAAGCAACTCAGAAGAACTGGTAAAGGTAAAGGGAGTAAAACTAAGAAACTGTTAAATAACTTACAGCCAGATAAATCCAACCTACTTAGTCGCATGAAACCTTTTTCCATTTGTCTCGAAAGGCTGGACCAGTCTGTTTTAGAAAAGTATTCTGTGACTTTATCCTCTAAGACCACTCCACAAAAGAATACAGGCTTCTTACAGCAAGGAGTAACAACTGCAAGTAACAAAGCTAAGATCTACTCTGATGTACGTGGGAAACACATAACAAGATCAGGAAAATGTAATCATATCCATTGTCGAGACAGAATTCCGTGTTTGGATGGGGTGTTTGAGAACAGTTCATCAGATGATTGTTCAGAATCTAGAACTGTTGACCATTCTGAGCAGTCAGGAAAATCTCCAGATTCAAAAAGGGCTAGACAGCAGGGAAAGATAACACAAGAAGTTGAAAATAAATTTACAGACCTGCAGCACAAGAATACAGATTACTCTAACAGTTCTGTCTTAGAAGAAACATTATTACATACACCAGGGTTTGAGTCTTCAGCAGAGAACTTAAATTTGAAGAATGCAATCATATGTTCTGAAACCCATAGTCCAGTTAGGCCTCTCAGAAGATCTTTGTATCCTGCTCTGGCTATAAAAATACAAAGATCACCAAAGAAAAGGAATGTAGTTGCTGTAAAAAAGTTTGAAGCTGGATCAGAACTGACAGACATTTCAAGTCCAAAAAATACAAATAGCTGGAAGGGAGGAAGCAGACTGAGCAGTGTGGAGACTGAAGTAACAAGACCGAAGCAAGCGGTTCTTAAACAGAAGCTCACCAATGGGCAAATACAAGCACAACCTAGGGATATGTGCAACATATTTAAAAACAGAAAGAGAAAGTCTTCAACTTCTGTACGTCCTAGTCAGACTTTTCAGAAATCGCCCCCAGTGCCCACAGATGTTCATGCGTCCAGCATCTGTGATACCATCAGGATTACAGAGAACCAACAGAACATCTCTGCAGAGAAACACATGTACGTGATGTCAACTTTCAGCACTGCTTGTTCATTTTCTTTAGGTTAGTAGAGGGGCTGGGTTATTATAATGTCTGATCTCCGTTAGCATCTGTGAGTTAAGTGGTAGCCTTTCACAATTGCAATGTTAACTGAACATGGCGTGAACTTTAAATATCCATAGCTCTAACTGTAGGCAATCAAATTCACATTCACGGGACATTTATAACTGGGAATGATCTCGGTAATAGGTTACAAATTAATTCACATTAGAAAAATATCTTCTAAGCACTGGCCAGATCATGTCCTTACAGTGGTGAAAGGTGTGGTAATAAATCCAGTCACTAACGTATTTACATTGAATGATAATGCATTAATAATATTTCTCATACTCTTCCCGTAGAAATTATGTTAAAAAATGGGTGTGTTTGGATAGTTTATACCCCTGTTTGCCTGTAGGCACTTTTTAAAACCCTGTTACATATAAATTTAAATCTAATTTTATTTAATTCGTAATTTCAGATTCCCTTTCGGCACAGCTAAAGGAAAACATTTTAGTAGTCAAGAATACTGTCATGTAGACATATTACATAATTTGAATATTACCAGTTCTGAATCTGGTAATGATAGCAACATTTTAGTCACAAGTACCAGTAGTTTTCCATTAGGAAGCGAGACCAAGACGGACAGTGTAACTCAACCGTATGAATGTTCACAGACCATTGATGATGCTTACGATAAGCGTGTGAGTGTTGCATCTACATCAAAGCATACAGAAGCAGGAAGCGTGGAGCAGATGCCAGATAAATGGACAGGATCAGATATTAGAGACTCAGTTTCTAATAAAACATCAAGAAAACAATCAAACTCTCCAATTTTAAGAAACCGTCCTGAAAATGAACTAGAGATTAGAGCAGGAGGGAATGACTCGGAAAACATTTCACAGGATTCCGCCGAAGTGTGTGTCAGTAGAACAGAAACCTTTAAAAGCAGTGGTTCATTTGGAATTGATTTTCTAGAAAGGAAAAAGATTGTAAAAGGGAGACAGAGTTTTGATATGTTTCATACTGAGGATGTTGCAGGTCATAGAACTTCATCTCCAAGAATTATCTTTGCAGAAGGGATGTTATTACGTGAGCATCTGACGGAATCAGAACTACCAAAGACAGATAGTGAGAATATGCAAATATCTGTAACGGATTCATATGAGAAAATCGAAAGCATAAAAAAGAATAATTTAGACAGTGATTTTAATACAGCCGGTAATAGAAGTGATGAGAAAGTTCAACAACATACAGAAGGCGTGTTCAGTTTTTGTGATACAGAGGAGGAAGATGATGATGATGAAGGAATTATAAGTTTTTACAATGAAATTATTCCATGCAGTCCAGCAGTCTCTCAGTTAAAAGAATCTTTGATAAAACCTTATGTACCTGCTGATAATTCCAGCAGATGTGCTACGCATGATTTTAAATGTGCATTGCTCACAGATACAGAGCAGAACAATTCAGATCTTGTAGCTGAAGCACCTCTTAAGGTTGTAAACCAGACCCCAGCCATTGAACAGTTGAGGATTATTACTGCTGATAGTGAGAATCATAGAGTATATACTCCAAAGTTCAACCCTCCTTCAAAAGATGAGATTTTAGCAAGTATATCACAATTTTGTATTCCTGAGTATCAACACCAAGAGCCCTTTGTTAGTAATTTCTTGGATACAGTAAATAAAAAAGAAGTTGGAAATAAGATCCTAAGAATTTGTAGCACTTCAGTTCTTAATTTGCAGCCTTTTGTTGCAAGTTCGCTTAACATTATTGACATTGAAACTTGGAGAAAGAAATGGTTACAGGAATTCAATTACACATCTCAGAGAAGTTTAGATGGAACTAGTGACCTGGATATCGGTAACATGAAACCTGCCTTGGCCAGTCACAGAGAAGTTACCATTACACCATGTAAGCTTCCTCCAAATGTAACTGAAGTGAGACTGTGGTTAGAAGCAACACAGAAGTTAACTGAACAGGGCCTGCCAGAAAATGATGTGGTGAGCAAAGTTAGTAGGAAGATCGTGATGCCGTTAAGTCCGGGACAAGAATCGGCATCAGACGATGACATGTCTGTCTCTCCTGCGACCCCTAGAAGTCTCAGTTTTGAGCAAAGCCACGGGGGTAGTGTAGTTGCAGCACACAGCACTCCACAAGTCACGCCAACTTCTCACGGCCTGCCGAGTCCCTCTTGCACACCCATTCATAAGAGTCAACACAAGATAGCGAAGTTGCTACTGAAACGGTCAAGAAAGGGGCTGAAACTGGACTCTCCGAGTCAAGAAAACATGTCTACCACCTTGCCATTAATAAGAGAAGAAACAGCAGCGGACATTGGTTCGGAACTTGTGTCTCCACTTGATACTAGTGGAACTTACAAGCGGCAAGGTTGTGACAATAGTAGTGATGACCTCAGAGCATTGGATCCAGTTCAGTCGGCAAAAAATGTTAACCTACAGTCAACCTCAGAGGTGGGTGAAAATTATAAAATTTATTCTGTGCTATATTAAACACTGAATGGTTGCTTGCTTTCACAGAATTGTGGCATGGACCACGTGGTAAATATTCCAACAAACGCATAATGCCGCTGGTATAAAAAGACCTTTGTGACGAAGCTAGATGGCAAGAATTTTTATACAAAGCTCAAAGAGTGGTTTGCAGTGAGATTCTTTGTTTTTGTTTTGAGGCTTTGATATGATACAGAGTTATAATGTTTTAGTGGTTTAAATTCTGTGTGATGGTTATTGTTCCATTGGATTAGTTAAATAAATTCAACTGAAAAATAGGACATATCTTCAAACCAAATCATTCACACTTTGTTGTCAAGAATTTACTGTATGTGTTGTGCAGCTCAGAATATGAGCAGTCCTCTTAGTAGAGGCCCATTTTAGCAGTAAATTCACTGCACTGATGATGATCAGGTATTTTAGGCTCGTGTGTCACTCCCAATGAAACTGCGTTCGGTCACATAAGGTAGTGAATGTGGCTTCCCCCAGTGTCCGTGTACAACTGGACCTGATGCCAGTTATCTCAAAAGACCTCAGGAGAACAAGGTCCTCAGATATAATAACCTCATGAGATTTTTTTCTTATGGGGGCCATTGAAAGGAAAAATCCACACAAATGAGCCTAGCAACATTGATAACCTTTAGAAAAACTTTTAACTGTAGACTAAACATATTACAGTCTGCATTTGCCAGTTTTCAAGCATGGATACGACATTTGACCATTTTCAGCACCTTTCGTGACGATGCGGTTTTGATAAAGAACGAGGTATGTACCTAGAACATTTGATTGCCATTGGTAATTGAACAGTGATTTTATTGCTTAAAGTCTGGGGTATCTAGCGAGAGGATGACTGCATCTTAACTGTACCATTTCATTTTTTACCAGGTACCAGATGACAGTGAAACTGTTCGTAAGGCGCTGCTACACCGTCAAATCCGTACCATCCTGACAACTCCAAGAGGTTTGAAACGTGGTAACTCCAGCTGTCAGATAGAAGAAAGTACTCCAAATAATACATATGGCTTCCGGATGTCATTTGAGAACTTGCATGAAGTCAAAGCGGTTTGTGAGGTAATGTATAAATAATAATTAATATTGCCATTGTACTTTTGTGTTTAGTTGCTGGTATTTCAAGGTATGACAGTCATAAAGGAAGAAACCGCATCCTCACATTGAATTATTTTACGGTTTTCTTTGTAAATTAGTGAGATTTGTTTTGTAATAAATGGATTCATTCAACCACATTATACTTACACACAACAGACATTTATGCCTTTTCCCTCTTCATAATATGCTAGTATGGAAGTCCCCAGACATAAAGGGACTTAAAAAGAAATATACTGTGACAGGTATTTGTATGGGGATGTACCTTAGTAATGTCCTTTCCAAATAGAGCACGGTGCAAATAGTGATAAATGCTGGTGACTGAAGGCCCCCTTCAACTGATTAGTGCATCTTCAAACATAGTTTAAATTAAGTTTCAGTACCATTAGTTTATATCTCAGTCAGTATAGTGACTAGCTACGGGCTGGATGGCCGGGGTTCGATCCCCGACGGGGGCAGAGGATTTTTCCTCTAGCCTCTGCGTCCAGACCGGCTCTGGGGCCCACCCAGTCTCCTCTACAATGGGTACCGGGGTCCTTTCCCGGGGGTAAAGCATGGCCGGGGCGTGATGCTGACCACTAACCCCCATCTAGTGCCGAGGTCAAGAATGAGTAGGAGCTATACCTCCACTCCCCCCAAGCGCCTACATGGCGTATAGTGGGACAGCTTTACTTTACTTTACTTTACTTACCATTAGTTTATGTTGTGACTATATGCAATAACTAAGTCTCTGTTAACAGCACCAGTTCCTGACAACGTTCATTATGGAGCTGCACGTCCAAACTCGAGGTGATCTGAGACCAGACCCGGCTTGTGACCCAGTCAGAGCCGTGTTCTATTTTGTAATGAATGATGTTCCTGAAGATTCGCGTCTTTTGAAGCAAGAGTTAGGTTAGTGGTACTGTTTGTTTTTGCTTATGATGAAGTGTCTACTGGTATAACACTCAAATTTTTTTTTCTTTTTGCAGTAACCACTAATCCGTTTCTCGTGACCATTTCTTAAAATACATTATAATGTCTTCCTCTAATTTCATTCTAAGTCTTCCACATGGCTCTGCTCTGAGTGATTTCTTCACCAAAATGTTGTATGCATTTCAAGTGTTGTTTCTGTTTTAGAAGCTGTACCTTTTTCAGTTTTAAAATTTTCCCTTTCTGAGTGCTTCCTCATTGTCTTTTGGGTAGTTACAATACTCTGATATACTTTATGTGGCTGTTTCCATTAAAGAATTCACCAAAATCATCTGTGATTCAAATTTTTGGACAAAGATTGTGAAAACTAATGAAGTTTATGGAAGAATGACAATTCTTTATGTTAATATCTTGAATAAACCAGAGTAAAATGTAAAAATTGATACAAAGATTCAAAGGTCAGTGGGTGAATGGTGATTATGCATGTTCTGAGTGGATGATGACTGTAAGATTTTGAGGTTAGGAAGCACGTCAGTCGATATATTCACAGTCTAAAGATTTAGCATTGATAACATCTGGATCTAAAATGAGCATTAAGAAGTTAAAGAAACCACAAAATTTACTTGAGGGTTAACTGAAAACATTTTATTCTCCTGCAATCATGGAACTTGGTAGATGGTTGAGACAAGGTTAGGTTACATGGAAAAGTGAAATTGTCTGACTATTCGGTGATTGTCATATGAAAACTTTACAATGCAATTGCCTTCAGCTCTTTTGTTTATTCTTCATAAGTGTGCATTAATAACCATCAAAGCAGTAATGGCTTGTTTCATGATATATGTTCTTGCTCTTTCAGGTATAATTGTGGTGTGTAATTTGGATGGAAGTGTTAGGATGCCTTTACTGAGGGGTACTCCTGAGAACTGTAAGCTAACTTATGTAGAAGATGAAGCGTCTCTTGTCCATGAATTAGTGAAGTGCGTAAAAATGTGGGATCCAGATATATTAGGCGGTTATGAGGTCAGTTTTGATTAAACTGAATTGATTTAATTTTATCCTTAATTTATTATGTGGTGAGGCTAGTGATAATTATAAATTAAAATTATGAAACACAGTTATTCTTTCTTGTGAGCACAGTAAGATTTCAGAAAATATAAGGGTCATTCTCACACACAAACCTGTTGAGTTGCTGCCAAGTACTGACGCACGTAAAGATAATGTACAACTTACAGGTGGAAATGTTATCGTGGGGTTACCTCTTTCAACGGTCGTATACTCTTCAAATCAATCTGCGTCCTTTGATGTCGAGAGTGCCCACCGCCAGTACACGCAGTCACCATACCGAAAAAGAAAGTATAGCTTCTCATTTAACTGAAGAAATCAGAGTGACAGGGCGGATTATGCTGAACATTTGGAGACTAATGAGACATGAGGTATTTGACACACATGCTTCCAGTTCTATGTATAGATTCAGTTTTTGTGTTTGGGCCCTGTCATTTGAATATTTCTAAAAAAATATTTCAGTTGTGGCTCAGACATGAAATCACTGGCCATGGAAATGTAAGGACAAGAATAAGCTCATCTTGTGTTGGATTTGGTCCATTGGTTATGGAAGTTGCATCTGATTTGACTTCATTCTCTAGTTTCTACAATTGTACTAAAAATAAAAATTTTGTTTGACCCCTACAGTTTGTCATATGTTCAAAGAAATGGAGGGTAGAATCTCAGGCCTCCAAATACAAGGGAGTGGTAACCACTCAAATGTTGCTTTCGGTTGTAATCTTTTTTAACTGGCTGCTTAGTTGGTTGCATGAAATCATTGTTTCAACAGACTCTGTATTTTCTTCATATTTTAATGGGAAATTGATTAATTTTTTCACAGCCATGTGAGCAGGAAAATATTAATTTCACTTTTTTTTCCCATGCCCACAATATTTTTGTCAGTAATGTTATTCCATTCCTTTTTTCCTCAGTTTTTAACAAAAATTTTGAAAATTTCAGATATCTGTCCAGAGTTACACATTTGAGAATATGATGTATCATATACTGCATCAAAGGATCGCTCTTCACTCGTTTAAACAGTTGACATACTGGTGGGAACACAGAACACACCTCTACAGGTCAGTGTAGTTGTCGTGTTATACTTTCAGCAGGTATTCTCGTCACATAGGTTACGCCTAAACAAGGTTTCGCTCTGAATATAACATGTGGGGTCACAGTGGTATAACATGATCAGTCGGTGAAGTTCACGGTGATGATGTGGAACTGATTGTTTTAATTTCAGGTGGATATGTGTTGAGTATTATTTACTGAGAGTTCAAGGAATTGTCAAGTTACTGGATCAGCTGGATCTCATAGGACGGACTAGTGAACTAGCAAGACTTTTTGGAATCCAGTTTTTAGAAGTTCTTTCCAGAGGTTCACAGGTGTGTAACATTCATGTTATTTATTTATTGTTTGCTTAACATTGCTGCCAGTAAGGATGATTAATGAATATTGAATTGGATAATATGTGAAAGGAACCAATTGTGATCTAACTTGAGGTATTATCCCAGAATTTGCCTCGAGGGACTGAGTATAATCATGAAAAGCCTCAAGAAAGCCATTGTTTGAGCCAAGATTAAAGTCAGGGACCTCCCAGATATGAAGTAGGAGTGATAACCGCTTGACTATGATGCTCAGTATGTTTCATGTTACTGGCTGCCATATATTAACGCATACTGATGTGCAACTCAGTGCTTTTGGCTGAAAACATGGCATTGTGCATAGTCTGTTCTGCTGTATATCCTTTGGGGATAGTGTATACTGTAGTGTCGATGTCTCAGCTGATAATAATTTTAATTACATTAACAGTTTTTGGGAACATTTTCACTCTTCGTTTTGAGAACCAAATGGAATCCATGAGCAGATCTGCCAGCAACATGGAGAGATATTAATATTAAGTTTGGTGATATTTAAAAAGTATAATATTTATTTCTACTTTCGTGTTATTGTAGTTCCGTGTGGAATCTATGATGCTTCGCCTGGCCAAGCCTCTCAATTATGTACCGGTTTCCCCCAGCATTCAACAAAGAGCTAAGATGAGAGCGCCTGAGTCATTACCTCTTATAATGGAACCAAATTCCAGGTACTGATCTTAACAGAAACTTTATTCTATGTTCGTGATATAGAATCTCCAAGTTGACAAGTCTGTCATGTGCAGCAGCTGTTATTAAGATGCCCCCCCCCCCACTACATTAAATCTGCTTCTTCCAAATGTAGAAATTGTGTAAAAACCTACAATCTCAAATGTTCCGTACTAACCAAAAATACTTCTAATGTTTTTCCTATAGGTTTTGTACCACACATTAGTATGTAATTATTTTAGGTGCATTTTTAAAAGAAAATGCATGTATTTGTTTTACTATGTCCAATATGCCTTGTCTGTGAAACTCAGTTCGTGCAAGTCAGTTTGATAGACTCGTGCTAAATTTTGTTGGGCCATTTTGATTTTGGTTTATTTGTAAAGTCACGTCAAGACCTAAATATAACGTTATGTACGTATGTCACTTTAGTTACTTACGAGTCTAAGTACGTTTTAGGCCAAGTATTCATCAAAGAGAAAAGTGTCATGTCGAAAAGTTGTAGGTGTCTCAGTGTCTGTAATGTTTATATATGTTCTGAATGACGAGGCGTAATCTGTCACTTTTGTTCTTTTCAGATTTTACAGTGATCCAGTAATTGTACTGGATTTTCAGAGTTTGTATCCATCAATTATCATTGCCTACAACTACTGCTTCTCAACCTGTCTTGGAAGGGTGGAACATCTGGGACAGTAAGTTCATTTTTCTTGTTGTTAAACTTATTGTTTTTAAAGTTGGTATAGAGACTGCCTATGACTGCATGATCAGAGTTAAGATTTATTTATAATTCAGTGACTTTTGTATTCTAGGGCGACTCCGTTTGTTTTTGGATGCACCCACCTCAAAGTTCCTCCCGCACATCTCGTAAAATTAGAGAACAATATCAACATGTCCCCCTGTGGAGTGGCATTTGTGAAAAGTGGGATAAGGAAGGGCGTACTCCCACGTATGCTGCAAGAAATTCTGGACACCAGGTTGATGGTAATTCTGGCCTGTCTTATGGCAACTCAGTCTCGCTTGTTTCGTGTCCTTCGATAAACACTCCCCTTTTGTAATTTTTGGTCTTCTAGGGTGTGACACTGTGTTGTCTTGTACATGATTATCGACATTTTGGATGACTGCTGAAGATAGATGTGGCATGCTCCTGCAAAACATTGGTATCCACCCACAATACCACTCATTATAAGTAACCAATTAACGATGGATATCAATGGGCCATTGTACTCTATCAGCATGGAAGATGACAGCTGCTGAATGAAAGGAATTGCAGATACGGTTCATAAATTGAATGAGCAGCCTAGATGTATTTGTTTTGCAGGTGAAGCAGTCCATGAAGGCACATAAATCCAACAAGACGCTGCAGCGAGTGCTTCACTCTAGGCAGCTTGGCCTCAAACTAATTGCAAATGTTACATATGGCTACACAGCAGCAAATTTTTCTGGAAGGATGCCATGTATTGAGGTAACATGTCTGAATGTTAAAGAGTTCTTTAAAGCTTTATAACGCTTATTCAGGGACAATCGAGGTAACAGATCATTGTAAATACCTTATGAGCAGAAGTTAATAGGTCAGCTTTCCTTTCTGGGAACATATCTCAGGTTGCTGTAGCAGTAATGCTTAGACGTGGATTCAAGATGTACCCATTTTGAATCTTGGCTACTGTTTGATTTTTCATTTTATCCCCAGTACAGTAAAACCTCTCGATTATCCAACTCCCACATTAACTGACCAAATTTCAACCAGATCAGTTGCGATCAGTTTCTACTGGCAAGAGTCTTTAAAGCGAGACCAACGCCGTACGAGTGATCGTCCTGCCAACACGTGTTTTCAGTTCGCGTGGAGACGCTGTGCTGCGTACATCATGTGGTGCAGAACTGTGCATTAGTGTGCATATTTTGTTATATTACTCTACTGTAAAGTGATTAACTAATGAAATGGCTTCTGACAAGGGTTACCCATTTATTTCTCATAATATTTGCTGCTTTCTTTTGCGTAGGTTGGTGACAGTGTTGTGAGTAAGGCAAGAGAAACACTGGAGAGAGCCATACGTCTTGTAGAAACAACATCTCGTTGGGGAGCACAGGTGGTGTATGGTGACACTGACTCACTGTTTGTGTTGGTCCCAGGCAGGAATAGACAGCAGGCCTTCAAGATAGGAGCAGAGATTGCAGAAGCTGTTACTTTGGACAACCCAAAACCAGTGAAATTGAAATTAGAGAAGGTGTATGAACCGTGCATCTTACAGGTGAGGACTTTGGAGGGTGTGGAGTTGTTTCAGATTTGGGGGTTTGGGATTATTTGTGTCAGGGAAATTCATGTAGAAATATGAATTTTCAGTAAGAGTTGTGAACATGACAAGACATTAAACTTCAATCATTAAGATTAATAAAATATAAAAGTAAAATGTTATGTGATCATGTTTTGGACTTCATTAAAATCTTTTATTGAAATCCCCTTTAGTATTTCCCATGTTAATGATTTAACTCCTGAAAAATATTCTGCAATGTATTTTGTGTTCATTTAGACTAAGAAGCGTTATGTTGGATATATGTATGAAAGTCCTGATCAGGATCAGCCCGTTTATGACGCAAAGGGAATTGAAACTGTGCGTCGAGATGGATGCCCTGCTGTAGCCAAGGTAATATTTGTTAAATGTGTCTTCTGGTTTGACCATGCAGTAATCTTTATTATAATCTGCAATTTCTGTGATGTTGAAAACTAATATAGTCTCCTGTAATTATGAAATCCGTTGTTTGCTTTTCCCAGATACTGGAGAAGTCTCTGAGACTTATTTTTGAGACAAAAGATGTAAGCTTGGTGAAGAATTACGTCTGCCGGCAGTTTTCCAAATTATTGCAGGGGCACCTCAACATTCAGGATTTGATTTTTGCTCGAGAGTATCGTGGCATGTCGTGCTACAAACCTGGTGCTTGCGTACCTGCTTTAGAATTAACGAGGTAAGTAGTTGTTGAATGTCTCTCTAGTTAGGCAGAATTTGTATTGGACAGAATTCAGAGCCATTTCTACCACCAGCTCAAGTTTCAGATATAAATAATCCATGCAAAGTTGATGTGGCTTGCATGCAATGTAAGTGGATGTATTTTAATTGTAATGAGGTAACAACTACATGATAAATGTGCCACTGTATATAATGCGGTCACATGTTTTGTATCATACTGTTCTTTGTATTCTGATTGCTGCCAACAGTCATTGGCTGTTTTCGTTTCTGGTGTATTCCAAGTGATACGTTCATGTTTCATGACTGCTGGATATATGTTAGCAATTGTCAGTGCATGCAGTTTACATTGTATGGTGACGGGGAATGGAGATGGATAGATATGTTTAATTGGGTCTCCAGTCAGTCTGGACCTGGCAGTGTAAAGAAAATCAGATGGCATCTACCAGTAATCAAGATACAGCCATCTAGGCCACAGCACATCACGTCACAGTTCTAGTTTCGAAATGAAGTCGCTTCAGTTTTGCTTGTTTTGTTGTGATTTCAGACGCTGGTTACAAACAGATAGGCGTGCTGAGCCACGGCAAAGTGAGAGAGTGCCATATGTCATTGTGAACGGGCCGCCAGGATTGCCACTGATACGGTTGGTCAGGTCACCGCACGAATTGCTTGCTGATCCCAGTCTGCGACCTAACACTACATACTATATCACGAGAGTTATTATCCCTCCGCTTGACAGATGCTTTTCTCTTCTTGGAGCTGAAGTTGAGTCATGGTAGGATTTTGCACAGTTTGTTGAACAAAGCTGTATTCTGTTGAATTTTGGAGTTCATACTTATTGCAATGAATCACCCCAATGTCAGTATAGCTTTTACATATAGGACAAGCCATGTTTCCTGCATATTTGTTCAAAATGTTTCAATCCAAAATACTTCATATTATGATATTACTTCTTCATTTTTAAAAAGATGAAACTGTATCGTGTTTTTTTTAGGTATGCCGATATGCCACGAAGATATGTAACAAATTTACCGACAGCTGTGTCCTGTGGACTCAAAAAGAGCACTATTTCGCAGTATTTTTCCACTATGAACTGTGCAGTATGCAGTCAGTTGACAACTGCTGGAATCTGTTTGACATGTCAGCAGCAACCTCAAAAAGTAGCTGTTGTTCTAGCGAACAAAATTCGAATGTGGGAAAGGACATACACTAACATCAAAAAGGTTTGTTCAAAGGATTTATACGAATGTTGATTGCAGTCTTCTGAGTTGTGGCACCTTATAGTTAAAAACTACTTTTATCCTAATATAAACTGTTTAATACCAAGGACCAAGAATGTATCCTGATTTGTATTAGATTTCTTTATTTTCTTTTAGATGTTTGTCATCAGTGGATACATTTTTTGTTTGTTTTTATTTATAAAAAGAGCTCTTGTAGATACTGTGGACTCTTAATAGTTGCAATATTTATATTCCGGATGCCATATAAGAGCTGAAAATTTGTAATTAAAGTTGTGGAAGAATTTGTTATGCTTATGTTCAAGTAACAGTGACTGGTTTAGTTGCAAGTAATTGGTATAGAGTGGCGATGGCGTTAGTGTTGGGTAGTTTGTAGCAGAAGACTTTACAAACATTGTGGTTCAGATAAAAGTGAGGTTACATCACAGTGATAGTGATAAAAAGATTGTGATTTCAGGTTTGTCAGTCATGTTGTGGACGTCCTGAATCCATCGACTGCATTTCTCTCGATTGTCCCATTTTGTTCCGGAGATGTCAGTCTGCTCGTGACTTACAGCAGGCCCCTTTTATCCAGAGCTTGCAAGAGCAATACATCACCTTCTGAGCCCTTGTATAGCCTGACCAGAGCATGTCACTTCAGTTTCACGCTTAAGTTAGCGACTTTAAAAGAAGGTAGAACAGATGTGTCAACTCTTACCCTCAGTGATGAAGGTTGTTACAAGAAGATAAAAGCCAAAAGCTGTGTAAATTAAAGGATGTAGCTTTAAGTAACCAGAGGAAGGTATGTTTGGTCTGCAGAATGTTTAATGTTAACAAGTGACCCGTAAACACTGAATACATTCAGAGTTGGGAGTTTTGTGATTTCAGGTTCTTACACTTGTTGGAAGTCAAGGAAATTGATCTTTGCGCTGTGTCAGTAGCTGATAACTTTAGACAGGTGATACAACTGATATGGTATGGCATTTAAATATAATCACTGATTTACATTATAAAATCATTCAAATTTATGCCAGTTTGTCCAGGAACACATCCCCGGCGTAAATCGAGGGCTACCTGTACTTGAATTAAAATTACAAGTACACTTACATAATGAATGGTGTATCTTGTATGGCATACTCAAAAGTCCAGTGTGTTTCATCTACAATTAGCAGATGAAAGTGATAGTATAATTGGCTGTAAGATTCTTTTAAAAAGAATGATTAGAGACATTACTAAAATGAGGCCTTATTAAAAACTACAGGTGAACATTTTATGTATGAAGGATATAGTTTTATAAAGCTGATTGTGATGTGTAAGTATGTAATAAATTTAGAAGGCCCCGTGCATGTACTACCAAATTTTAGTAATATTTAAATCGCCATGTAAATAATTATTTGTTTATTATTAGAAGAAGAATTTTCATGTTCCTTTGTAAAAGTCAACTTCAAGAAGTGTGCATGAATGTATTCTTCAAATGCACTGTTCGTGATATATCAGAGTATGATAGCCATATATGTATATTTTGGTATAAGTTACAAAATTGAAAGTATATTATTAAGGACATTTATATTATAAATACATGTCTGCTTTTTACTTGGTTTCAAATGAGGCCTGAGTCTCAGGTATGTTTTGAATCTTTATATTATAGCAAAAAGAGGTTATTCTTAAAACTGACCATAACGCAGAAATTTATGGCTGCATTTATAGGAATGTTAAATATGTGAATATATGATATATTTCTTATGGCAATATTTAGTGAATTAGTATTGTTTAAAACAATAAATGCGAGTGTTCACAACTGTAAATGATCATAAATTCTCTCATTTCCTCCAATATTCTTTTGGTACTTTTGGCTAGCTTCCTTACTGAAATTGATGTTACTTAAATCCCTTCTCTTTAAAGCATGAACTGCTAAACAATTAGTACCTTATGCCATTGGTATTGTGGCATTTATTTTCTTAAATAATTTGATGTCTGATGCCACATTAGTTAAAATATCACCTGGTAACTCTGATTATGTTCACATATGTTCCCTTTATCTTATGATAAAATAATATTCTTGAAGTCTTGGTTCATGGTTAACAGAACTTATGCTCTGAAGTTTCTTTCTACTTTACAAACAAGAAACTGCACTTTTAAATATATTCCAAATATTTATTTTCATATATTTCACAGTACAACTTCCTTCTCATTTAAACCTAAGAGGATTTTTTCAAGCCGTACTCATGTAAGAATAAACATGTGTATACATCCCAAAACGTATTCTAATACAATATGCCAAATTCTGGACAAAACTGTATTGTTCACACATAACCTAATTATAAATATGTCTAGTCGCTCAAACTGCATGCACTATAAGAATGAGAAATAGTTTAAATTGAACATTTACATAAAAAAATACAGATAGCACAAACATAAAAATTTCAAAGTATTTTAACTTCACTTCTGGAAATGTTTGTTCAGCCTAAACTGATCTTTCTTTCTTTTAATATCGGTCAAAAATGAGCCTCAGGATTCGGTTTAATTACATAAACTGCTGCATCTGCAAATTGGTACCAAGGCAAGCAGTTTCATGTGTCTTATTTTTCATAGGAAATTACAAAAGGTGGAGAAATTTAATCCCATCATGTCACTAGCTATTCAAAAGAAAAAAAATGTACTTGCAAACATTAACAATATTTGTATGCAAACAAAATTACCGAGAACTTTACCTAAAACTGAAATAACATCAAAGTGCCTCATAATTAAAAATTCACATTGTCATCAATATATACACATCGTATTTGAGAAAAAATGGCATCTACAGCTACTATATATATATATATATATAAAATAATATTAACTTTTCTTTGAGAATATTGAAGTAATAGCAGTGACAATGCAAAATATTCAGTTTGACTTCTATGAAGCTAACACTCATAGATATGCTAGTATTTTTCCATATAATTAAAGGAAAAACAATACTGTGCCACTTCCCACATCTGGATTAAAAATTGTTGTCTCTGCAAAGAGAGAATTTAACAATGATCTTGAAATTGCTTTGTAGTAACCATCATAATTATTTTATCGTTAATTTGTTTGAAACAAACCTTTTCATGATAAATATTAAACTTTAATTAAAGTGTGATTTGAATTTTGAATCATTGTAAGTTTATTTTCAGTATTTTCCATTTGGGTAAGTGTAAATATGGCCTTTCATTTGTCTCTTTTATGAATGCAAATATCTAAATATAGGTATTTCAAAAATGTTTAATTTTGTAGTAAAATAGCTCATGCTATGACCATCTCCCCAAATTCCATGCAGAAGATGCACTGAAGATGTGCCAATATTTATTGTATTAAATAATGCATCAGACAGGAACTAAATAAATACATGAAGAACAGTAAATTACTGTTTGCCGATTGCAGCTTCAGTCTTGATACTCAAATAAGGAAAATGTTTGTGGCATAATAGTCATTAGGTTAAGTGGTTTGTATGGAAGTTTCTTCATAATATTTTTCATTCTTCTTGGAAACATATGACGCAGTAATTTTAATTCATAATTCAAATTTACATGTCATAAAACAGGAATATGTAAGTCAAATTGTATGTTGACATGATGTTATGCTATAGAGGGCGTGTAGTACGATACTGATGGACCCTTTTTTTTTGTTAAATTCCCTTGAAATGCACATCCAGATGTGGGGAAGACCTAACTTAATTTTGTGAGTATTTTAGTGTCCAGAGCTGCTTTGTGAAAAAACCATTATTGTCCACATTCAAATATTATTTGAGGACCCTAAATATAGGGGCCTATTTTTTTAATAAGACGAGTTTTACAAGATGCTATGTCCTCTTTAAATTAAAAATAAACATTTCTACTTGCAGAAATTAATCTGAAACACAAAATTTGAAAAAGATATTGTATTTATTACTTTATGAGTAAGGCACAATCACAAACAAAATACGCAAATTGATGAGCTGTCAAATTCCTGAAACTTGACCACATTGTTATCAAAGGATGAAAGTAACCTCAGCAGAAGTTAAATTTCACATTAATAAATGTGCAGGTGAAATGGAGAGCAAAAGTCTCATCTGATTAAAAGAATAAGCCCATTATGAGGAATTTTTGCTATTGAACCACCTGGCATGACATTTAACTGAACAGTAAAGTCAGCTCACTACAGTACCAGCAATCTGGGTCTAAACATTTGTTCATAACACAAAGTGAACATTTATTTTGTCAAATCACAATTTAGATCAAACATTTTATGCAGACCTACTTCAATTTTTGTTTGAAGTATACAACATAAATATATTACAAGACAAAATAACAGTATGGTAGATTAAATTAACATCATTCAGCTCTCGGCAATGAAGATAACTTCGTGCTGAAGTTTGGCCAATATTTCACCAACAGCACAAAGACGTCATTACGCATTTCTGATCTTTCCTGGGACGTAGTTCTTGTCAATAACTGGCTCCTGAAGAAACATGTGTAGACAACGTTCATTCTGGGCAAGCGGGTGACCAGCAATCCTAGAATAATTAATTAATAATAATAAATTATACTTTTCAGTAAGCCGTAGGTAACGTGTATCTACTAAACACAACAGGTAACCTCTCCCTGTGCCTAAGCACAAAGGCTCATGGTGGGAGTGGAGGTAAAGATCCACATATTCATAACCTCAGCCATTAGATGGAGGGGAATGATCAGCTTCATATTCTGCCACTTTTATCCCTGAGAAAGAGGCCTCCCAGTACCCATTATATCTGGAGACTGCTGGGCTCCAGAGCTGGAATAGACAGTGGTGGCCAATCGAGATGTTTGCTCCTGCCGTGAATTAAACACTGGCCATCCAGCCCGTAGCGAGTACTGACTTAGCAATAATGGGTCAATATACAGCTACTAAAAACATTTCTGGGGGAAGCTATTGCTCAAATAATGAAATACTTTAATCAAGTTTCAGTGGTGTAACTATTGCTTGGACATACTTATTCACAAAAACTTCCAGTCCCTTTCTTCGGTCTTCAATGAAGTCTTCTTCAAATATTCCATCGTCTCCTCTGAATGGCATCTGACGTTTCCATGCTTTGCCTGGTAAGGAGGGGACCACTATCTGCAACAAGCATTTAATTCAGTTTTAGAATAATGGCTTCAGTTGGATGATGAAATCAAAGCCAGGATCATACAGACTTCATGCAGTTATGATAAATGAAAATGTTGCCATTCTTGGTAATTCTGTATGCATATACAAGCTGGATATGGTAAAATCATCTCAGTATACGATGATTGTGTTCACAATGCATAAATACACTTTCAATTCTCATTGCATTTGTGTAACATACATTACCATGTTTCTGAGGCTCTAGGATTTTGGCACATGCAAGATACATACAACTTTCCACATTCCATCATACTTTACCTTACTATCTCGTTCTAATTCATTTCGTAGCCATTCAAAATCGCTATATCTTCGGCGAACACTCGATTCTTTCACTTTGAAAACAGGAAGGTTTGTCTGAAATGAATTAGCAACATTATTTATAACAAACAAATATCTTCATCCATATGCATTTTGGTTAATCTGAATAAGATACGAATGCCCAATACACTAGCATTCAAAATGTATTAAATATACAGGGATTTCCTACCGTGTACTTAAGATATATTTGATAATTAGGCAAATATTTCAGAAATGTATACAGAGCATGTTAAAACTAATGTTAGGTGTAACAGTTGCGTAATGAACAGCAGTGGCAGGCACAAACATCATATATGTATTTGTAAATGCAATATTGGTTGTTTGCCCATTATAAACGTATAAAAGAACCAATATTCTTCATTATTTCCTGGCTGCACCAGCCGCCTCCAAAAGTGACAGTAACAAGTCAAATGATGGTGCTTACTCTCATTCTAACTTCGTAGTCAGTGTATCTCTTCTTTCCAACACCATGAGTTATTGGATTTATTACATCAATCTCAAGAAAATTTGCTGGCGCTGCATAGGCATCATCCAGAGTTTGTTTTTTAACATTTAGTCGTCGCGTCGCATCAACTGTCGTATCCGCCATGCTGCAAAACACCTACTTCTGATTTCGATATTTTCCGTAAGATGTCAACCTCTAAACTAATCGCAAACGTAAAGACTTATCAACGAGATTGTATAACTTCGATGATATGGTCATGTGACTATTAGAACTGATTGGTAGTTATCTATGGATTGAAACGAATTCTTCAAATGTGTAATTAGATTTAAGGTGTGCTTTGATTGCTTTACGTCATCACTGCTAAATTGATTGACCATTAAACAAATAAAAGCACAAACGCAACTTAGTTATTAATTTGTTGGCCGGTAGTCGCTTTAGGGGGGTAGGGGGTGAGATGCTAATACATGTGTATCTGTGGGGTGGTATAATACAAGACGAAAACCACTTGAACGTGGAACATTAACCGGTGACAGGTGTCTGTCCGTGGTCTGCAGGGAGGTTACCATGGTTGCACGGCGTCACAACCATAGAGACCATCGTCGATATCTTCTACGTCGTGATAACCACATCTCGGAATGGTATCATTTCTCAGTAGCAGTTGGTGGTTGTTTCCAGATTCATAAGCGAAAGAAAATGGACCACTAAAGAGGTGATCTGTTGTCATAGAGTAGTATAGTATGCCGTTAATTGCGAGAAGAAAGACGTTCTAGGTGGTTGGTTGTCACAGTGCACATTCTGTGTGTGTGGGTAATCCGTGTCAGCATTGGTGAGGTTAGGATCTATTCATTTGTCCCTTGGGCAGAACATTATACCCATAAATAAAACCAAAATTGGGTAACTGGTTTGGCTGATTGGAATCCTTATGTTTCGCCATGAAACTGTGCTGAAAACCCAGATTCAATTAGAGCTATGAATTGTGATTATTGTAAATTATGGAAGGGGTAGGGATGTGATTCATGCTTCTCCTACCTTAACAACCTAATGGGTTTTTGTTCTAGTGCATCAGATGGACAGGAAAGGACCAAGAGGGGATGGACTTCTACAGATGAAGCTGTGAATGTCAGTAATGGATTCATTCATCTTCTTCATTGTTGTTGCTTTGATACATTGTGCACTGTTCTTCTTTGACACTTTGTTCAAGGTAATGTAGTGGTGCATTTTGCTTCATTATTTTTCCAAATACATTTTGAGGGATAGAGCTGGGTAGTTTAGTATAGTGACCGACTATGGGCAGGACGATCGGGCTTCTATCCCTGACGGGCAGAGGATTTTTTTGTTCTAGCTCCATGTGATAGTATGAAATAAGTGTGTTACAAATACCCTTTTAAAGTCCCTTTGAACTAAGGAAAATGTTGAAATTCAGAAAGCACTTTTAAGTATTATTTTTAGGCCTCTGTAATGTTTTATGACTTGAATTGTAATAATGTTTATTAGTACAAAAGTCTGATGTGTCTTGCACTTGGCTACTTTGTTTCTTAACCCATACACAAATTATGAATATTCTGTTTCAGAGTTGCTCCCACTATCCATATTTATATTTCCTAGAAAACACAGGCCTCCAAGTTGAGGCGTTCAGATTACGATGGTTCACAACAGCTTTCAACAGATCTCTCCAAAAATGTGGATCATGGAGACCGAAACTTTTGGACTTATGGTTTACTCTTGGAACAAGATGTTCCTTGGCATTGCTGCCAGTAGCAGTGTACATCGTTGTCAAGACTGCATTGAATGCGTGGCAGAAAAGCACTGGGACTGGCGATGAAAATCCATCACTCGTATTGGAACCTATGGTTAGTGAAGATACATTTCTGTTAACATAATTATTAGGCAGAATTTGAGGTTTTCACGGCAGTGAGTCCGGAGATGGCTGTCTTCTGTGTTGTAGTGCCATGTGGTCTGGTAGAAGTTTAACAACGCTTCAGAGATCCTTGCTGCCTTCATCATCAGGTCAATAAGTGATCCATGTATAATTATAGGCAGTACATGTTTTATAAAAGAAACTGTATCACAAGAAAGAATTCCTTCATGACTAGTATAAGGTTACTTACCTTCCAAAATTTTGGCTCTTCATCTTACCATTGGTTTCTCAGGTAAACATCTTTATTTTTTATGCTGTATGATTCTGAGAGATATATGCGTAGCATGAAAGGGGTTGATACTCTTCTACTAGAGAAATATTAATGTGTGGTATTTCTTCACTTCAGGTCCCAGGAGTTAATTTACCAATAAGTGACATTGGTTATTATGTCGCAACACTCGTCATCTGCAGTGTTGTACATGAACTCGGACATGCCATCGCTGCAGTAAGGTATGATTTTTGTTCTTGGTATCTACGTACACAGCATGAAGGGTATAGATTAAGGATGTTCGAGACAGTAATGCTGAAGAAAGTATTTGGATCTAAGAGAGAGGAAGTGATGTCATCTTTCCAGATCCTGATTCATTAATCATACAGTGTTATATATTATGAGCTGCTGACTGCATTGCTAAATAAAATACAGGTAGCACAAGACTCGTGTAATTCTTCATCAGATTGTAAACTTCTTCAAGTATGATGACCAGCAATATATTATTTCAGGGAAGATGTTCACGTTGATGGCATTGGGCTCATAGTTGTGTTCATTATACCTGTCATGTACGTGCACCTCAACACACAGCAGTATGATTCGCTCCCTCCGAAGAGGCAGCTTCGTGTCACATGTGCTGGTGTTTGGCACAATGTTGTTCTCACTGCTGCCGCCGTATTGTTGCTGATTCTACTTCCAGTCTTTCTGTATCCATTCTATGACACTGGGACTGGCGTTATTGTCCAGAACATTCAACAGGTACAAGCAAAAAGGAAGATTATGTGTAAAAATTACTAGTCTGTGTGACAGATTTTAGGGGTCCAAAGGATTACATCGGGGTCCACAGTGGCCGTGCGGTCTGAGGCGCAGGCCATGTGCCGCTTGGTCGCTGGGACTGTGGGTTCGAATCCCACTCAAGCCATGGATGTTTGTCCGGGTTTTTCTGGGTTGTGCCGTCGTGTGCACAGGTAGAGGCCTTGCGACGGGCCGATCCCTCGTCCAAGGAGTCCTACCGAATATCTATAGATGAAGCCAACGGAAAGTTGGGACCCGCAGTGCTCAGGCGCTTGAAGAATGGGACGTTCCCAATATCGATTACATCTGGTGCCTTCAAACACTGCTAATAACTAACAGGAGATACGTATATAGCATGTCCATTAATTATTAGGTATAATATTTTTAAGGTTAAGTTAAAATTAAGTTAATTAGTTACTAATGATTAATATTCTAGGAATAATAATTCTGCTACTATTAGTCTGTGCATCAGTTTTGCAGTACACAGTAAATAAAAACACAGTCATGTGTTTGATGCACAATAGTCCTGTAGTACTGTAATACATGTTCAGTTTTGCAACTCTGCTTCCACTGTGTAAATTTTCCTCCTTCTTATCAGTGATGAGTGGCAGACGTAAGATAGCAAACAGCACACAGTTAATATCACAGATAACCCAAGGTTACCAATTCTGTTTTGTATTTGGAATGTACCAGACTTGGCTTTCAGCCCAGATTGCAGCTTTCACGACTTGTATTTTATGGGTTTCTTTCACTGCAGGAATATTCTGTAATTGTACCTCAGAATGACCCATCATTATTTCCTTCAATATCATTTCTAAACTACTTCCAGTATTCGTGGAGGAATAGCTCCATGCAATCCTAATCTTTTTGCTGGTGAGATGAGTTGTCACTTGAGCTACTTTTCTATGAAGGTAATAGTCCTTGTTAAAAAGTAAACAGTGAAATAGGTGTTACTGTCGTGGATATGTCTCCTTGATCCCTGCATGCTTTTGTGGCTTTGTGTGTACTGTCCACAGACCAGGAGAAAAGCCCTGCGGGGGGAAGTCGTTTCTAGAGCGGTGCAGGGGGAATGTTTACTATCAAGTGGACTAGAGGGCTGCTATTGGTGGGAAGTGAAAGCCAGTTGTCTGTTGTTCGTTCAGTGGTTGTGGAACGAATGCTTTTAAGATGGGTAGTCGCTCACCGCGAAATCTTGCACATGCGCATATATCGAATTCCTAGCAGGGCTTTTCTCCTGGTCTGTGGACTGTATGTATAGGGGAATATAAGTTGCAAGTCTGTCACTGCACGGGTAGCCATTGAGTTCTTACAGTCATCATTTACATGACATCTTGTTTAGGGAGGTCACCCCACTGTCCATGTCATAACCTGCCTTCTTTGTTCAAGGATTCGCCCGTAATGGGTCCATCAGGACTGCAAACAGGAGACAAGGTTTTGGCTCTGAATCAGTGCCAAGTTAAAGATTCTGACGCGTGGTATCATTGCATTGTGTCTGCAGTAAAACATGCAAGTCCTGGCTACTGCGTCTCTTCTGAGCTGGTTAAGGAGCACGATGAATCTGTGGCAGGTAACGACACTGCATATCCTGTGTTACAGTGCATGCTTATTAGAAATTAATTATATGTCTGTAAAGATTTATTTTCAACAAATTAGGAGTAGTGGCGTAATTATATTTGTATTTGTATTAGTGTTAACTAACTTGGCATTTTGTTCACAGAGTACGTCTGCTCTGTGATTGAGATGTGGTTTGTTTTATTTAGAGGTAGTAATCTCGCTTTGTAAATATTGTGTAGATGAGCTTCTTACTTAAATCTTCAGTTGAAAGAGTAAAGTGATACCATTGCCACTCTTACAGCAAAAGAGCTGCCAGGTGGCGCAATAGAATGCTGCGGTGCGAATAGTCCGGATCATCTCTGTTTCGAGTATCTGGACACGGAAGAAAAGATGCCAGAACTACCGCAGCACACTTGTCTACCTGGTCGTATCGTGATGGAGACTACAGATGAGATGTGTGTAGCAGCTAACGATTGTAGCGTAGGCTTGCATTGCCTGAAACCTTCCTTGGATAATCACACGAGACTCGTACGAATAAAGCGCGCTAATGGCAAATTGGTGATTTTTCTAGGTCATCCGAGTGAAGTTTATCACACGGTGCAGGTTAGTGATTTTGTGCCATTATACCCTTTTATTCCGTCAGCAGTTCCCGATGTAATTGCGCAAATGTGCAGATACCTGGCAGTGTTCTCGGCTGGTCTTGCAATCATAAACATAATTCCATGCTTCTATTTTGACGGTCACTATATCATTCAAGCAGTTTCCAACATTCTTCTTGCAGGTAAATTTAAACATAAGAGTGTGCGGACTGCAATAGCTCTCTGCATTACTATTTGTGGTACTGTGTTTGTGTTTGGAAATCTCTTATCCATTATATTGTCTGCAGTTTTCTAAATTTATTTATATCTGTAATGAAAGCTGTATTATGTCATGACTACATATAAATCTGCTGTGCTATGAGAAGGTACTTACCAACCCATGCGAGGGCAATTATTGGAGGCCACAAAAAGCACTGAATCATGAAGTGATGTTATAGAATTGAGTATGAAAATAAAACCAGTCAAGTACAGCCTGCTGCATTTCGATGCCAATTTGAAGCCGGCATCTTTTGAATGCCTTCTTCAGAGATTTGACATACATTCTTCTGGATTTATTTCTCATAGTCTTCTGATGAAACTTATTGTACGCAATGTGGTTGCATGTGACCACCTTGAATTGGTTTATTTAGATGTCGGAGTAAATGAAAATCACACAAACAGGGGCCTCTGGAAACCTAAACCTTACCAGAATATATTTTGGCCTTGAATTTGTTCTCGTGGGAACCAGAAAATTTTATTAATGCTCCATTTCTTTAGCTCTGATTCATAGATGTGATTCCACATTTCATGTCCAGCCACAAGATCACTGGATTTATACTGATTTATCTTCATTTATCACCCTTGCGTTCAAACTGTGTCACAGCTGTATTATATTTGTCATCATGTTGAATTGTAATTTTCGTAATCAGGTGTGAAGTTTGTATTTGATTTTGTGTATTTAAGTAATAATTAGATGCACTGATATTAATGATTCTTGGCCAGCAGTTTTCTCATGAATAATACAGTTATCAGATGTAAAAGTTGTCAAAGTCTTTTTCTGGTCTCAGGATTTCTCCCTCTCCCCTGCATAGCCAAATAAATTTGGCACACCGTAATTCTTGAACACAGTTACTGTAGAGTTCTTAACACCGTTAGAAATGACAGATATCTTTATAAATTGTCATGCAGTGAGGGGTATAGTGTGGCCCTGGTCCATTTGATCCAGATAATGTTTATCCCAGTTCAGTGCTCAAATCCATAATACCCCATAAAAATAAAGTGAGGCCTATAATTCATGTTATAATGTAAAAGGAGGATGCGGTAAGCATGGCATAAGAACTGCAATCAAAATTCTACACATAAAACTTCAAGGGACTCGGGAGACCTAGTGTGGATGGTAGGATAATATTGAAATTGATTTTAAAATAGGGTGAAAGGATGTGGATTGGATTCATTTGGGTTAGGCTGAACATGGTAATGAACTTCCAGGTTCTATAAAATTCAGGATGTTTCTTGACAAACTGTGTGAGAAAGAGTTTCTCAAGATGAATTCTCTTCCATGGAGTTCGTTACACCATTTTATATTACACACAATTAAGTTTAATGAATATTATAGATACAGCTGTGTAAATATATGTACAAAGAAACTGGAATATCTTCTTTATATCATCTGCTGAAAGCCACATTCTGCCGTAACTGTTTGAGTTGACGTTCCCCGTGATAAATTAGCATCTTTATTGTATACTGAAAGAGGAAGAAAGTGACAGATCTGATTACGTGTACATAAAAAAAGTATAACTTGAAAAATCATCCAACTCTCGGTACAGTAGCACTTCATTCTTTTAATTTTGCCATTATTTTCCACAATATTGCAGTATACAAGTTCACAAAGATATTGAAAAATATTTCTTTTTCCCTCCCCATGTTTGGCTTTGTCACACAAAACTGATCAATGAGACTTATATGATAGATCGTATTTAGCTTTTATCATACAAATATATGTAACTGAAGCCCCCAGCTATGGGGCTGCCATCTGGTATTTTTATTTCATTTAGCAGTATGCTACTGTGATGCACAGCCAGGTGGATTGTGTATAAATCTGTTAGTCGATAAAGATTAAATGTGAGGCCAAGCAACAAAGTTTGACCTTAAAAACTATTCCTGTTTCATGAATTAAAAAATTTGAAAGTCCAGCTTTTTGTTTTGCTTAATGGCTTATTCTGTCAAGCAATATACACAACATTGATCTCACCTTGTTGGTATGTTTGCATACTGCCAACATGATCTGCCATGATCACCATGTTGAAATACACTTATGTTGTTATATGTCTCACATAGTTATTACTTCTGTGAGGAATTGAGGTTAATTGAATGAGTTATGTGAGGAGTCTTCTAATGTAAAAATTGTATGTCCTTACCTCATCTGTGTGATGTTTATTGTTTTTAAAATCTGAATGTATCCACTCTAGTAATTCTTTCTTACTTTCTTCATTAGGAACTTCGCGTATGGCTTGTAAGAAACTACGATATAGTTTCAGAACTTGCTGACGAACCATAAACTAGAATGAAAAATGAACACCATCCCTTATTCCAGACTGTGGAATTGATTGGATGATGTGACATAATCTATTTGTTACACTATGTACTTTGCACATAACATTAACCCACAGGCTTTATAGTGGCTAAAGTTATATTTTATTATATGACAGACAATATTTATGAGGAAGGTGTTAAAATTTGTATAGGTTGAAACTTAATTTACTGCACATTGATTACATTAGTTTACGGACAGTTTAAATTTCATTCATGGAAGTATAACCTATAAAAGTAAACGTCTGTCTAGGAATATGACAAAATCAGGTCTATACAATACCTGTTTCAACGTCATTGTAGCCTGAGGTATTTTAACAGACATTGTTCTATGCCTTTTAACTTTATTCTGGACCTCCTTTTATCATTTCCATTAAAGCCGCCTCCAGTATTAACAAAGAAATGCCGTCATTTTGTACACAGCATAATCACAAAGCTGATTCTGAGTATGTATATGCTAATTTTACGATTGGAAACTTTTAATTATAATAAAGCAGACGTGACATGATACGTAAATATCAACAGTATAATGGGTTAATAGTAATAAAAGGGGCACAGTGGTGACAAATGAACATATTCCACCTTAACGAAATCGATCACTGCCCTTAATAAAAAAGTTGTAAACCAAGGATTTAGGTTTCGGAAATCGTGGATTAGCAACACAGAATTAGGTATCATCAGTTCACAGAGGCCTGCAATTATATTAATACAACCTTAAACCTAATATTCTTTATTGGGAACAGGACTTCTGCATTCAAGAGTTCTAAACCTATTCAATCCATTCACTCCTTGGTTATATTGGTGTTGTCTGTGCTCCTTGCTCTCAGTGAAAGACGTGTTTACGTTTCAGATGGGAATTAACTTCCGTCTCAAGTTACAAGTAATTTATAATCGTGTATTATAAAAGGAAACTTTTTTGGGCCTTTCGATCTGTTCCACAGTGTATGAAATTGTACCCCCGATTCAGAGTATTGGGTCTGGATGAGACTGGCAAAATGTCCTTATTACAGGACGAGTTTCGTTCAACAGAGCATAGAGTATTACCAGAGTGTGGTTGGAATGTTGGCAGCTCTACAGGATATCTAGAAGATTCGTTGTGTTAGCATCCATGTGGGTGCTCATGTAATCCCTTTTCCGGTTGACGAAAGGAAGATGACTGGGTTTGGGAATAAAGTGAGTTTTGGTTTAATTGTTCTAACGTAGTGTTAGGTTTCTTATGTAGAGTATATTCAATAAGACAGTCATATTTTCTAGTAATTACACATTTTGCAGTTGTTACTAAATGTGAAAGTAAGTTCTGTTGATTGATGTAAAGCTTGTTGAGCGATTGAAGGTGCACGTGTATCAGCTATGTTGTCAATATGTATATGTTACGTGTTATATGTAATAGATTAACGAGATTTCTTTGTATTACAATAATACGAATCTCGTTAATCTATGTCCACGTTTATTCCTTTTGATTTATTACATCTTTTCAGATTCACTTTCAGCTTAGGGTATTTCAAAATAATGTGAGGTGTTTATGGAACGTTGTGTAGACACCTAGAAAGTAGTAATCTGTGTGGTGTTCAAGTCTCCAAAATTATTACTTGGTTTTATCTCTTTCAGGCCATCCTTATAGATGGCAGGGGCCATCTTCTTGGTCGTTTGGCATCAATTATTGCCAAAACTGTCCTTCAAGGCACTAGGGTCATTGTTGTTAGGACTGAGCAAATCAACATTTCTGGAAACTTTTTCAGGTAATATTTATCCCAGATAGCTTCCCTTTTTGTGTGTGCTATTTGTTGTGTCTTTTTAATATCGCTGAACCATTTAAATGTGGTTACAGTGGGCTATATTTTTTATTGTGTTTGTGGTACCCTGTCGGTGTAGGCTCTGTGTAACATGTTACAACATACTACTTTTTACATCGGGAAGTTATTGGCTTGACCCAACCTTCAAGCTGGAAGATCACATCTTTTCATTTGACTGAGTGTTTATTCAGTATACTAACAGCTAGTCTTCTCCATCTGCAAATGGAGGATGTGCTATGCCACGATGACAAGGTATCTGATTAGTGTGTTTAGAAATGTTACACAGGGCCTCAGGCTTGGCCATATTTTTTGGAACTCTGATTATGTAGAACATATGTGACTTCAAGTAAAAACGGAATTGAAAGTGTATGCTTTGTGAGGTCCATTGGTCAGACATTTGCGATGATGTTTATGGTAATTTGCGCCTGAATAGTTTGTTCTGTGTTGATATTTATTACTGAGCAAATTTGCGGACATTTATTAAGGTTTCATGTTAATTTCTCTGTTACTCAGCAAAAGTAAATGAATTTGTTTTTTTCCAGGGCTAAGCTGAAATATCTTTCATTTCTGCGCAAGAGGTGCAATGTGAATCCTGCTAGGGGTCCATATCACTTCAGAGCACCAAGCAAAATTCTGTGGAGGACAGTTAGGGGTAGGAAAATTATTCCTTTGCAAAAATAATGATTCTTAGAAATGACATCTGTGATTACATATACATCTTACCTACATTATTTGATATTTATGAAACCAAATATTTTATGAGATTCATGTTATTAATATTATGAGAAGAAAAAAACAAAGAGTCTGTGTTGCCATTGTAATTGTTCCACCATTATGTGATGCAGGCATGCTGCCGCACAAGACTGAACGGGGAAAGGCAGCATTGAAACGTCTGAAGGCATTCGAAGGCTGTCCTCCTCCATATGACAGACGGAAGAGGATGGTAGTCCCAAACGCTATGCGAGTCATGTGCCTGAAGCCAGGCAGAAAGGTTTGTTATCGAATATAGCAAAACCGTATGAATAATGTGTTGAAACTTTAAGTGGCATCGGTGATTACAACAAATCTTACCTACATTATTTGAGGTTTATGAAACTAAATTTTATCTGAGATGCCCAAGAATTTGATGTTATTTTCTATACAACTGGGTAATTTACACTTGTACTTTTCTTTATAAGGAAAGTTGAAGAACGTGGTTGTCTTTTTAACGTCCGTTGGAATCATAATTTTAGTGTGGTAAGTGAATTGCCAGTAGTCTTCTACCATTTCAGTTGCTTACAAATATTTCAGAACATTCAGGATGGACCACGCGTCATTATCAGTGCCTGCTATTTCTAATGTTACATCTTGCCGTGCAGTGTCTTCAGTCTTGGAAGTTTTACCCATAATTGTTATACGCATAAGGAACATAATTAATTGCACGTATGCATATTTGTTAAGTCATTAAAGACTTATAAAATAAGTCTCTTTTAGTACTGCCATTTGGGACGGCTGTCGCACGAGGTGGGATGGAAATACAAGCACGTGGTGCGTACATTGGAGCTGAAGAGGAAGGTGAAGACTATCCTTCGTGTCCGCAAACATAAACAACTGAAGGTGAGGAAGCTTGGACATTATTATCTTTGGGTTTTCTATTACCTCTTTGTCTGCTGAAGTACAAGTGCCCGTGGGGCAGAGGGGGCATAAAGTTTGAATTACATCGGGTGGCTGAATCCCAGTTGTGAACTTCTGTTTACAGCATTTTGAGTAGTAGTTTTTGAAAAATTTATTCTGTATCTAGCTGGTCTTTAACCCAAAACCTTCGGCATGAGTGTCCTTTATCTTGCTCCTTGTCCCCGCACGATTCCACACAGCGTCACAACCCAGAAGTGTTCCACGCGGAAGTTGGGTGGTTCAGGTATGTGGTTATTATAAATGGGAAATGTGCTGCGTTGTGTAGGTGCTGTGTATGATATGTACAGAATTTCTTTTGTTACATTTTGTGTTTCATTTTCTGTTTCAGAAACTTACCCATGAAGCTGGTGAAAGGGTCGCAAAACAAGTTGAACCATACACCAAAGTAATCAAGTCATATGGATATAACTGAAAGTGTAAAACAATTGTGTGTACTGATTTATTTCTTGTGTGAAAGAAACAGAGTTGGAAAGTAACAGTAGTTTTGTTTCTTCTGATTTATTATCTCATGTCCTAATCCATTTTTTCTTACATGCAGAACAAGGTTTGTGTCTGCTTATTTTGGTACTTGCTGTGTTCGTAATTTCTGATTTTTTGTGCGTCATTTGTACATGAGTTACGGGAGATTGTGCTTGTCAATTTATCTTCAAGATCTATCTGAGAAAGTAAATTAAATTTAATGGTATTTAACTTTGAGCACCTGTGCTAAAATTTGTTGGCCTCTGCCATGTGAAAGTTATGAGACAGTTTATTTTCTGAAAGAAGTAAAATGTCTACCATCTTTAATCCTCAGATTTTTCCTCAGCTGTGTCGTTTCCAGCAAATATATTTTCCTTTGTGTATCAGCTATTATAGGACTAGGGTATGGTGAATTTAAATTAAGAAGAATGTACTGCTATTGAAGTTTCCTGTTCAGGAAACATCAATTTATTTACATGATGTAAGGTAGGCCTGTTGATAACATTAATCTGAACATAAATACATTTCACATGTTACAGTTTATTTTATCATAAAGGTTATTTAAAAAAATCTTTAATATGATCTGTTGGTTTTTCTCCTTTTTTATATTTTGTACCTTATATATTATGGTAGTGATACATGGGTGGGTTTTATGTAAGCATTCATTTGTACATTTACATTACATTTGTTCAGTAGATACATAAGCGCTATATCACCATACTTGGAGATATTATGAATGTAACTGCAGAATTTTTTGACTAGATCGTGTATACACATACGCTAGGTAATGCAGTAATGAAATTATTTTTTATTTATAAATTTGACACGTTTCTTTTGAATATGCTGAAGTATTACAGAACACTCTATGAAGTTACCCTGTAATTTGAAACATGTCTTGCAGTTATTTCCGAACAACCCTTTCACTGTCACATTTTTAGGTACTGAGAAGTTGTACTGCTTACATATTTTTAAAATATGTTATTAATGCCCACAACTATTATTTTCTGGCCTTTGCCCCACCATTAACTCTTCGAAGCCAAAGCTTATCTAAACGTTTAAAACCGAGTCTGTACTGCAAAGGAAAAACAACACTTCACCATTACCCCATACAAACACTAAGGACATAATCTTGGTTCACACTGAAAATACAAAACACGTAAGTACAACATGCAGATACATCGATTGATAAAGCAGGTTGGGACATGCAGTTACTGTTGTCCTTTAAAGGGTTAATATTTTCTGATGTAACTTGGCATTACTCATATTCACAGAATTTTTACTTTGTCAGGTCAATACAGAGTGCATTGTTTCAAATTTATTTTTAAAACAGAAAAATTCCTTGCATACAGCATACATTTGGTGGTAGCATGTAAGCACACAGCAGTGCAGTGAACTGGCTGCTTTGTTTTGGTTTCTTTTTGTTACACCTGCTACCAGATTCATTACTGTCTCATAATTTGGTAGCTCTCAATCTCTTTGGTTTGGAACTTTTGCCAGAGGAGAAAAACAATGAATATGCAGTTGACCCTGCCAATATGTGCTTAGAATTGGGTGTAAAGGTAATATGAACATTATTCAGGATGAAGGGATTACTGGGAGAGGTCACAGAAGGTATTTCTGGGTACAGGTGTGTGTCCATTACTAGGATCCCTGGTTTTAAGATTCTGTTGGTTGAAGTAATAGTGTCTTGAAGACTTTAGGATCAACAACAACATTTGTGTGACATTTATGGAGTGAGAGACTTCAGCCAATTGGTCAAAAAAGGTAGGAGTTATTGCTGAGAAGTTTCAAAATTTAATTTATGAATAGATTATGTCAGAAAAAAACTTCAGTTTCAGTATTTTGTTATAAATGTGTGCTTTTTTAAAATAGAGTTGGTTCTTCCTGACAGTATGAAATGAATAACATGGTAAATGGACACTAAGCCTTATAATTTTTGTTTCTGTATAAAGATAAATCTGAGAAGGTAACACAAATACATGCAGTTTCCAGCTTGTAACATTGACAATCTTGATTTTGATTCAATGCAGTCTTCTAGCATGAATATCATTGAATGTGTTGAAAATCGTGCACTCAACATTTACTATACTGTAAATTTAAAAAAATTTGTAGCATTAGGATATTGTTTTAGAAATGTAAGTACTTCACATATATTTGTTTAAATGATTCCCCCTCACCAACAAAAAAATTATGTTGTAATATCCATTGCAATGAATTTAAACAAGAATGTTCATATATGATAAAATTGGATCCAGTTTATGGAGGTCCTTGGAACACATTTTGAGAAGGAACTACAGGCTGCTGTAGACTTGATACAAATCTCTTGTATAATGTGGCATGATCTGTTGTGCTGCTGGTCATAACTTACGTCTAGATTGCAGGAGGTATGCAATATCAATAGGCTAAGGAACAATTAGAGAATTTTCACGTGTATATTTCAGTCCATACAGCTGAGTTTGATTCACCTTTTGCATGGGACATTATGTCAGAGAAATGGGAGATGTGTTCAGTGTCATATTACTATGTATTAGTCCTCAAGTTGCTTTAGTGCAAAGTCCATAACCTTTTTTCTTAAAAGTTTGTAGGAATTTAAATATGAGGTACATTTTCATCATGCTTTGCCAACAAATCCTGGCATCAGGTATCAAATGAACCAGTTGATTTTAACTATCTTTTGCCATCATGAATTAAGTTTTTCAAGTAGGTTCTGTGGTGCTTGCTATGATTCGCTTTGGAGGTTTTTATGTTGCATATAATTTATATACACATTAAGACAAGTTACAGCCATGCTAAGTGTTAGACTTACGACACATTCTGCTTGTTCATCACAGTGGTGTGTCTTGTCTGTATGGAACAGTCTAGAAATTCTAACATAGCCTGTAGCAGTAAAGAGGTTAAATTATTAATAGGTCCATTAATGTTTGAGTACTGTACCTGTTTGTGCATACCAGTCGGATTAGATACTGCTGAGTATTGGTATTTATTTAGTAAAAATACTGCGCAATGCAACTTGTGCATTAAATATTGAACAATGCAAGTTGTGGAAGTTGATTTCATACAGGGCAACATAAAGTAACTTAACTTTCAAGGAATATAATCATTTCATGTCATTATATATAATTAGTTACTTCAGTGTAATTTAGTATTACACTAAGTTTCAGTGGGGTTCATGTGAACATTATAATAAACCTTTTGGTTTCGTGATAGGTAATTTCTTGACCAATTTAGCAGCCATCAGATTCTGAAGGACTCTGCATCATCAAATTAGTTAGCACATTTATTACATTCGTGGAATTGTACAGCAAAGAAGTAATATTTAGCTTCAGTAACAGTACTGTTTGTGCAAAATTAATTTCAGATGTAAATGTGAACACAGTATAAAAGGTTGCACCTGTAATCATATATTAAGTCATTTAGTTGACTAAGTAAATCACAAATATCTGCGTGGTTTTCATTGTTTTTTGAGTAGAAAGAGCTGGGATGTACTTATATGTCATGGTTCATGTGGTTTTTTTGAGTAATTCTCGTATCTTACCCTGTTATGCAGACTCACTGAAATGTAATTAGTAAAACTTGGTGACTGTAGCTACCTTAAAACCATAAAAATTAATTATGTATGCTGACATTCAATTTTAAACATAACCTCAGAATTTGTCAAGCTACTTAGTGCTTGCCTTGTATATAACCTCAAATAACTGTTATTTATAGGAAGTTTAAGTTAGGTTAATACTCATTAATATTGTGCTGCTCATACAGCTGCTGCTGTAGCTCTCTCACCAGAGGGCTCTCCTGTGGGGTTAAGGCTAGAACAGTGTTCATGGTCAGTCATGGCTAGGGAGGTTGGGTGACTGCTGTGGCCACTCGGATGAGACCAGCAGGCATGAAATATCAGCTTCAGAATGTTGGGGAAACAGGGTCGCCGCTGGCACCGCAGCAGTACGTAGAATAGTGGGTCCAAAATGAAGTGCAACATTATCAGACCATCTGCCACCTTGTAGAAAATTTTACTGATTGCCCATCCTGGAGCCAACTGCGCAAGCAGAATGGAAATCTGAAACAAAAAGATCGGAGCATTATTTAATCTCGAAGGGACGATAAAAAACTATTAATTGATTTAATGCTCGCTATTATGAAGTTAAAAGATGGCATTGTCTGTCTTATAAAAGAATAAAATTAACATATATGAAAAAGTTATTATTACTCAGTTAAAAACTATTATTATATTGTTCACTCTCCATTACATTAAGTTGTGATATATATAAAGCTAATAAAACATATATATATATATATATATATAGGTTTTATTGGCTTTCTATGAATGTGAAATGACTCTTACTTTGAGGGAAGAAAAATTGCAAGAATCTGAAAATTAAAACTTGACTAAGTGATACGAAGTAACTGAGAAATGGAAGGTTTTACATAATGAAGAGTTTAGTACCGTATATAATTAGTGTTTTAAAGACAGTCAAATCATTGAAGTTATGTGCTGCTTTTCTATCTTAAATAAAACTTCGGTTTCATAGACTTTAGTATAGAAATTGCTTGAAATGCTGTGAATGAAGTGTGAAGGTAATATTAATGGTATCTTGGGTTTTGAATTCTGTTCAATGGTGTCAGTGATAAGCAGTCTGCGTATTCTTTTATCGAGGGGTATTTTTTTAAAAAAGATTTTAGGTGGAAACAAAAGAAAACAGACTAAAGGTATTGAATTATGCAAAAATTATTAATTTAAAAGGAATAGTGGGTAGATTTTACATTAAACATTGCTACAAGATAAGTTATTTTGACTAAGGTGAATGGTGTAGTCCTTGGTTTTTCACAGCTGAAGTTTAATGAAAACTTTAACTTTTGGGAATTACTTGCATCTCATGTAGGTTTATAATTCCTGTCTTTTGGATTTCACAGTTACGGCTCAGTGTCTAACTTCAGGTGTTGGGTCACTTATTTCTAAAAGCCAAAGAAATGTTAGTAGACAGAGATTCGCAGGAATAAAAGTAGATTGTGTTGTATTGGCAGAGGAATAATTCGTCTATCGTATGTACGGTTTCGCCCTTTTCATTGAGTAGTTGGAACAGACTCCAGTAAGGTGCCAGAGAAAGAGAAAACCACGATGAATTTTAGTGAAGAAGTAAATGAATTAATGACAGAGCGAGGCTTGTTTGGACAAGATGCAGAAAATCGAGAGAGATGGAAACTTTGCTCAAGGAACTCATTAAGGAAACATACTCAAAAAGAAACTCCTACACTTGTGGCAAACCATACACCACCAGTGTGAAATTGTTTGCCTACAAGCCAGGCGATCGCATTACTATTGATTCGTCAGTAGAAACACTGGAATATGGAAGATGTTATTCCGGGTGTTATGATGTCGAAGCGAAACACGTTTTAGTTTAACAGTCTATAAACTCTCTGGATGCTGTAAGTATAAATGCAGTGCTTAGTATCTCAGTACAGTCTGACTAGGAATACGAGTATCTCCTGAAACATTACCACTAAAAACGTCTTTTTTACGTTCTATATTATAATTGCGATATTTATATCCCAGGACAGTCTATCTAGAATAATACTGTTTCTACGTATTCGTAAAGTACCTTTCACTAGGAATGCGTGTTCCATGTATTTATTCGCGTACCGCCACCAAGTACTCATATGTGTTTGTTGAAGCATATGTATCTATTGAGACGCGCTAATACTGCAATGTTTTTGTTTCTCGAGGTGGTGTCAGTAGGATTTCGGTGTGTGCATTTTTGAGACACTCTCGCGTTGTCTTTGTATTTCACAAGATGCCCTTACTAGGAATTTGATTTATGTTTTTCTCGAGACATTCAAGCTAGGAGAGCTGAAAGTTAGGACGGTGTTGGACTTACGGCAATTGTTCTTTACACAAGGTGCACGTATAGAAATGGAGTGTCTTTATGTCTATCAGAGTGTTTCATCTACAGGAATACGCAATGGATTTCGATTAAATTTGGTACTAGGGTCTAAAAATAAAGTGGTTTAATTTAAATGAACAAAATTGTAAATTATGCATAACCTTTGTTTTCCCGTGTATGTAACGTAAATAAATAATGGTAGGTTGTTTCACAAAGCTGTGGGACGTGGTCTGTCATTTCGAGGGGAAAACATACACTAGACGAAAATAAATACGCAGGAAACCTAATAAGTTTGAAATGAGTGAACAGTTTCGTACACCATAAAAGTAGACACATCGTGGTTTGTACATGACAGCAAAATTTGTTATGCCGTGATGGGTTCAAGATCATGAGGTTGGACGACGCCATTATCTAGGTCTAAGGGAGATGGCGTCGTGACGCCTGATTACGTCGTTGGCCCTGGTGACGTCACCAACCTTGATGAGGCAGTCCGTAGGTGGTAAATTAGAAATGTGGGCGTATAGGATATGGCGTGGAGAATGCATTTTGGAATTTTTATGTGTTCAAAAGTTTATACCTTTCCAGTCTTGTTTTATTTACGAGTGCTACAGTTAAGAAATATTATCCTGAGGTCTCTGTGTGTTCCCAATACTAGAACTGGTTAATTAACGACGACTTTTTCGAAAGCAGAGGTTTGTATATTGTCGGTAGAAATATTACCGTGAATAAAGTGGAATAGGATTTGTAAGGAGACTTTTGCAGACAGGTCATATCATAGCAACTTCTGACATATCCTGTGTGTGGTACGAGTTCATTACATATGACCATCCAATTTCAGACATCAAGTTAAAGTGGTCTGTTACCTAACATACCAAGATATTTCGCCCGGACGCCATGTTAAGTTTCATTCACCTGAAAGCACTACGATAATAGTTGCGTGTTTTCAAAGTTTAGTCCTTTGGGGATAAAAGTAATTTGTTTTATGTATCAGTTTGGAAAGCATTATAGATTTTAGTTTCTCAATAAATTTAAAGATAAAAGCCCTTTCCATGCCACAGAGTTTAAAATAAAACACATATATAAAGATACAGTACACTACAATTGTGTATTTTGTTTTATTTAGATGTAAGGATAATATTAAAATGTATTTTAATGAAATTGAATAGACGGGTATGGATTGAAATCGTGTGGCCAAGACAGGTTCCAGGGACGAGCTGTTGAGAACATTGTAATGAACCTTCAGTGTTTGATGAATGATCAATTTCGGGGTAGTTGCACGTGTTTAATGCCGAAGGGACCTTGGAAACAGCGAATATCACGGCAGTGCGAAGACGTGAATGGAGTTCCGAGATGGCTTGTTAGCATGGAAACGATCGACAAATGACAGTCACGTAACAGTGAGGCGCCAAAAGACATACAGACATTCCGTAAACCCCCGTACTACAGCGAAATAGTTTATTTAAACGTGACAACAGCGCATTAATTGTGATTATGTACCATTAAGGCTCGTATCCTCAAGAGCGATTGTTCTGGAAAACAATAAAACTTTTCCTTTCCACTGCCATTGTCTTAAGGTCTTCATTGTAACTGAATCTGATACGTCACCGCGTCTTTAGATTTTCACAACTTAGTGAACCAAATTTGTAATCATAAGAAAATTGTTTAACGTAATGTGCCTCATTTTTTATAATCCTTAAATATTTTACAAACAGAAAGGGTAACCACTCCAGCTTCGTATTCGAGAGGTCCCGGGTTCAGATCTCGTTGTGGTGCCCGGCTATCCTTCAGCACCTTCAGTGGCCGTTGATCTGCAGTCCTCTTAATGCGATTTAACATTGGTGTTAGTACGAGAATGAATCTATTCTGAATTGTAGCCTCGAGATGTCTGGTAAAGATTTCCGTCTTCTGGGTTGTTGCGCTGTGTAGTCTGGTCGATGTTTACCAACGTTTCAGAGGTCATATTCATCGCCCTGATGACGGAGGCAGTATGACCTCTGAAACGTTGGTTAACATCGACCAGACTACACAGCGCAAGAACCCAGAAGACGGAAATCTTCATACTCACCGCTGTGAGAACCTCAAGTCTTACATGTCTGGTAAAGTTTACCAACGTTTCAGAGGTCCTTGCTGATGCAGGCATCCATCTTTGAATATGCTGTCATTTAAAATACTTAATTCAAAGTCTTTGTGGTGCATTATCAATGGAAGAAGTGGCTGTTACCATAGAGCTGCAGAAAGACCTCAGCGGTAAAACTACTTCCTACTGAAACAGTGCGTTCCATCAATGCGGCAGGGTCTAAGAGGTTTTTCATTGACGAAGTAGGAACGGAAATAACTTGAAATACCATTTGTGGCATCCAGCAGACCACGAACGCGACGCTGAGAACGGCCATGAGTCGCGCGAACGATAGTTCTTCTGGCGTCGACACGTTGTAATAAGCGATGTCTCCTCCGGTGGTGAGCACGCCCGTTGTCAGGCTGCTGCCACTAGACACTGAGCGCGTTCGGCTTGAATTCCGGCTTATCCGCCTCCCCAGAACTTTGCGTCGGGTGCCCCTGCACCCCAGATGACAGAGCACCCTGATCACGGCCAGGTTGCACAGCACGATGCACACGCACAGCAGCGTACCTGCAGCACAACAGGAGCGGATCGTATTCGATAGCTCACAGTTAAAACACTTTCGACCTTATATACAGCGTGTTCCATAAATCCCATCCACTAGGAGAACTCTGAAAAATGGAAAAGTTGTTGAATATAATGTGTTTCCAATCTTATTTGTTGGAATTAACCCAGGACGAGCCCTTAATATTCTACCCTCTATACATTATGGACAGTAAATTGTTACGGTGATGTTGCTGCGGTGGTGAACGAGTCACAAAAACTACAGGAAACTGTGGAATCACATCTCCCTTTCTCTGTTATGTCAACTTGGCAACATCGCATTAATTTTTGCTGTTGACGACGTTAAGAGTATACCGAATTTGACGTTCGTCCTGCGTAAAATTCACAACAAAATTGAGATCCGGAAACACATGATTTGCAACAGCGTTTTCCTCTTTGCATTTCTTGTGTATTTTGCCAAATGACCAAGTATCTCCTACTGCAAGGAATCTGTGGGACACCCGTAATTAAGGTAAAAGAGAACAATTTGTTGCCCTGTTTGCGAGTAAAATTATGGCCTTCCAGTCCTTGTTCGGGCACTTTAGTGACAGCAGTATTTATTCATCCCTTCTTTTCTGCTGGTGTTTATTTTCGGATGCAATTAATTTGAAGTGCTACGCATAAATCAGCCTTTTAATGATAAGAGGGTGATTTGTAACAATTTGTAATCCTTTTCAAGGTGTGTTGAGAGCAGCGTAATAACATGAGTTTGAGGTCATCGCAACCATGGCAACGGATATTGGCCAATCTCGAGTTATGTGTGTACAGACGGACTGACAAAGTGATTTTAATAGGCGTTTTGCTTTAATGCGAATTCTCCTTAAGAAATGTCAACATTGAGATTAAAAATTATTAAGAAGACGAATGATAAGATACCAGATGATGTTAAGAACAATTTGGAAATGTAGGAGATGTAGGAGATATTGATAATGAAAGGAAGTGGGGAAAGGATGAATATTAAGTTCAAAAAGGGGACCAAGTTTAAGGGGTTCGTCTTCTGGGTTCTTGCACCATGTACTCTGGTAGAAGTTTACCGACTTTTTTTAAGAAGTGTTTGGCGCCCTGATGATGGTTGCGCAATTACGACCTTCTCTCACCAAAAACGAAGAACAGGTAGGCGTAGGCGATGTCCACCGCTTCCGTTGCGTCCCTGTACCGGACACACCCGTTGTCGTAGTAGAGCCCGAATCCAGAGAAGGGCAAGCACACCAACACGAGGACCGCGAACCACAGGCAGAAGATGGCCCGCCTGATCACGTTGTAAGTGATGTGCTGTAACACACGAATAATAATGATGGTGCACTGGGGCGTGGAGTTTGTACTTCGTCACTTCGGTGGTAATTTTGCTCGGAAGGAGTTGTTGACTGTGGGTATTGGATAGGAGACCCGGTGGGCCCCAGAACCGGTCTGGTGTGGCCACGAGGAGGAGGTACGTGCCCTGCCCGGAATCGATCCCAGTAAATTGTCGTCATGTACTCCGGTGGCCAACTATTCGGTACGGTGAATTTTTACCCAATGTTCTTTTTTTAAAGTTTGATTCCACCGTGACCTAATGACATCTTTAAATGACTCTGCTTATGTAACTTTCCCATCATTAGAATTTGAACAAAATGGTGACTGTAGATATGAATAAATATTGGATACGGACATTTAAAAAACCTTTATTTTATCGCAATGTATTTTGGGCGTGATTAGAATCCTTGGTATTGCAGGTCCTCTGTAGTATCGGACGTTTCGAAACAATGTTAATACTTGGGTGTTTGAAAAATAACTTTCATAATTTTAGGCGGTTCTGCCGTATTCAGGGGCTCGACGGACCTCGGATTACCCTCCTGAAGGAAGTCAGAGGCAGACGAATCCCTTAAAAATGATGGATCGCTGTTGATAAATGGGGGTTGCGTTCTAGAAGGGGTGGAAGGTTGAAGGAAACTCGCTCGGAGTTTGTAAGTTTTAAACTGTCTTGCTCAGGACTCCTGTGTTTTCCAGGAAGTTAATTACTTTTCCATAAAGTCGGGCGAGTGAGTGCGTGTTGGCAGTCGGGGATTATGGCGAGGTTAACACGTGTTATTTTATCATCCTAAGTAACGTGTTGTTACTTTATTGTGTTCGGAGGAATGTGACCTGTTGTCTTGTAATCCGCGTTCAGACAATACAAACTCGATTCAGATTAAAACTTGCTAAAAATTCAGTATCATAATGTGGATTACAATCGCGCCTTTAACGGTTAGAACGCTGGCCTTGTATCCTGGGGTCTCGGGTTCGATTCCCGGCGGTGCCCGGATTTATAACTTTTGTTGGGCAAGGCCGTGGTCTAGGCAACACGGAGTTTTCCTCCGTGGCATCCCAACAATTACTCCATTCACACACAGAAGAAGGCAATGGCAAACCACTTCTGGATCATCTGCCAAGATCGTATATGAACAGGTCCCAGTCCGAGAAAAGGATGGAAGGATCCTGTTCATATGGACCTGTCGTCAGACAGAACACTAAATAATAATAATTTTAGGCACCTTCAAATGGCGATCTCCTTCGTAAATCCAGCCCTAGAAGCTTGTAGATACCAAGTACGCCATTTCGTGTGCGTTTTAGGGTTCCGAATCGTTACACCGCGCACTTTTACAACTTACGCTCCCAGTACGTGTCACAAAGGTCACACGTCATGTAACTTCCCCGCCCTCTCGTTGATACCGGGGAGCCCCATCGGTTTACGTTCGTTTTCTCGAACAAACAGAACCAGTGGCGTTCGAAAGGATTTGATACTGCGCGGTGATCCGATCTTGAATTGCGCGCGTGCAGGTGAAAAGAGAGAAGGTAGCCACGAAACATCGGAAGTCGGCGATTAATTGTGTACGAGTGAGAATCCTTTATGAGCGTGTGACGTAATAAATATTAATTGGGCGTAAGTGGACGACACTATCGGCGACTATAGAATTTATTACCCTGCTATTGTTTGCGGACATTGGCCAAGGTCATTCTTCCAGAGTCGCGCTTCCAATCTGGTTAGCATTTTATGAATGAGACACAAGACGTTCTTTTTTTCAAGGTTAGTCATTGGCTGTCCATTAGTGTTCGTTTGTTCTGATTTGACAGGAAGTGTGACGCGGGGTAGACTCCGCGAGGAGACACCTTCTTTTCCTAGGGCCCAGAAAATTTAGACAGATTATTCATTAGCACATTTATTTTATTTATTTGATTATTTATGGTTTGTGAACGACGCTGTCAGAGCTCTCACTATTTAGGGTTGAATGATAAGATGGTTAATGAATACTGAATACGACAGGATTTGGAAGAAAACGGTCATCCCCTAATTTAAGGTACTGTCCCAGCATCTCTGTGGAGTGGCTACATAAAACCACGGAATAGGATAGACGATCTGAAGGCCGGTATTTGAAGTCGGGACCTCCCGAATACGAAGTAGGATCGTTAAACCACTCACCTGTGATGTTCAGTATTATTCCTCATTAATTTAAAACAATCTGGGAGTTAATTAACGGGGGATGAGATCTTGCAGGAGATGCAGAATTGAAAATTTATGAATTCGTGACGTAAATGTTGTCACGTAGGCCTATTATTTTTCTTGGAAGATAAGCATTTTTTTTTTAGAAATGTAAAAGTGTATTTTTGATTCGCTTAAACTATGTATTGGTACCGAATTCCATCGCAGTTTGTTAAGAAAACTGCATACAAACAGATAAACCGATCCCTAATTATGTCTAACTTACCCCATGGAGAAGAGCACTTTAAAAACTGATAGTCACTCATCTGGTTAAGGAATTAAGCCTCTTTTATAGAATCCAAACTTTCATTGGCTCGCTCAGAACAGTTCGCATTTAAGATTACTTTTTCACTAACTTTATTCCGTTAGGACAAAGAATACACAAGAATAATATTCACCATGTTTCTTGCCTTCAATCTGTGTCAGAGTGTTCACCGATATTAATCATTTAAGGGCTACATTTCACACGTCACTCTTGCACCTAGACATTTGCTTTGCAGGTTTCAACAAGGGATAAGCATACGACGGCCTCCAATTGAGATCCATTTTTGGCCTGTGGTCCATTCCTTGGAGGATATGAACTTTTTTTAAGAGTGGCCTCGTAACAAAACCGGAAACTGAAATTACCCTGTCGATATTTATCCGGCCTCTGTCGTCCGCCAGTCGGTGAAGTGTCCCCACGCCCTGTGAGATGTTCGTATGTGTGGGTGGCATCGATTAAGTTTCCTGCGCATTAAGGTTTATCGGCCACAAGAAAATATTTGGACTGTACCAACCGAACATAAGAAAAGTATATTTGGCTATGTTTTGTAGTGTGTGGACTCGCTACTGTGGTCCCAAATATTTATCAAAACTGTCTATTATTAATTTATTAATTAATTTTGGTAATTGATGGCAATGCATTCGCCTATCGGAGTGCCTTTAAAATCATTTCCATCTTGACACTGTTTTGTAATGATACGTAACTACTCACTTTTAGAGTCAGTAGATAATCGGTCAGTAATGCGACTGACTGGCTACGTGGAGTGATTTATAAGAAGGCCGGGCATCTGTTACCTATAATGACTCTAGAACCTACGGAAGCAATTAAACTTTGTTTGAACGTAGTGGCGCTAGTGAGTACCCCATTGACTGAGTTTAAATTTTATAAAATCAGTAATACCAACATGACGGCCGCGCGAACTTCTGAAGTGGAAACAGCTCTAGTGGCACTTTCAGTTGGATATTGAAATGTAACTGAAGTTAGACACTTTTATTGGATCTAAAACAATATGGCGGAAGCGCGAAATCTGTATTAGCTTTCGGTTTCGTGGTAATAAACTTCATAACATTTTAAAACTTTGAGGTTACGTCTGAGATGGAGAGATGTATACAAAGATTTGAATGGAAAATCATAAAGGAGGAGAGTACTTGGAATACCTAGTCGTAGATGGGCGGATAATATTAAAATAGTTGTTAAAGGAATAGAGTAGGATGGTGTGGACTGGATTAATCTGACTCGGGGTAGAGATCAATGACGGAGTGTTGTGAAAACTGTAATGAACTTTCGGGATCCATAAAATATGAGGAATTTGACTAGCTGAGCGACTGGTAGCTTCTCAGGAACCACTCTGATTGTAGGGCAGTTTGAAAGACCGACCACAAAGAGCCCTCTCGATCAGCGTCACGTGCCCAGCGCTGTCGACATAGTGTGTAGTTAATCGCATTGTAACTCAAGTGCTGTTTGCTGTATGGGAATTATAGCTTATTTGTAGACATAAACTAATCTGTAGGCAGACACCTACTGCGAGCCACGAGCTCTCTCGAAGCAATATCCTATACGCGGTGTACAGAAAGAGATAGAGTAGCCACAGACGGATAGAAACAGGAAAGCGTGGTTCAATGGGATGAAATTAGTAGCGGGGAAACTACTTCAAGAACGGTTGATCAAAATTAAGTTTTCACTTCGTCTTCAAATTTCTTCAGTTCAAGTTTGAAAAGTGGGAGATGATACTTGTCTTCTACAGGGTGTCCTACTCGAAGTGGAATCGGCAGTGACAGGATGTCGTTGCAGCAGCGAGAGAACTACTGGGAAATTAGTCGCAACGCAGAACATAGCCGTCGTATGCTCGTTTCTAGGTTCTGTGTTGCATGGAACACCCTGTATATTAATCGCAGAAGTTTGAAAATGAACGCTTTAGATTCAAAAAAATATATATAGAGCGTTTATTGGTACGATGATTAGTTAACAGGAAAGAGTATGGAAGGAAGCGGTCGTGGCCTAATATAAGGTAATATTCTTGCATTTGACTGCAGGACCTGTGGGAAACTACGATAAATCTGAGGAAGGCAAATTTCAGGGCCGAGTTTCAAACATGGTACTTCCCGAATGCGAAGCAAGAGATCTTAAATTGCATTATTTTCATTCTAGGTTTGACGAAATTTGGTAGAATAGTGGCTTTAAAATGTAGTGTTCGAGTCTGGGAAAGTTTTTGAGGTCTGTATTGTGTCAGGGTATGTTATATGCACGTGTAAACACTTGGAACGCTGGAAGACAAATGCTTACGTCCATTTCGAGATGGCGACACGCGTATCCGGAGAGTGAATTTCCGGTAGACATTTTGCTATCCGTGCATGTTGACAAATCTGTGAATTGAATCTGTCGCCAGTTCAAGTCAGACTGGCGGAAATCAAGAACTGAAAAGAATGAAATCACCTAAGAGAAAAGAGGAAAAAGGAGGAACAGATAAACAGAGAAATAAGAAAGAAATTAAGCAGGAAAGACATGCAGAGAGGG